TTCGTCTTCTACCTACTATATATATATATATATATATATATAAAATAATATATATATATATATATATATATATATAATAAAGCAATCTCCCTCCATGAACGTGGGCCGATGAAATTCGTCCCGAATCACTGGACAATTAACGTCAAGCGGCGAGCGGCTGAAATAAAGGAAGAGGAGAAGGCGATCACCTCCGGCCAGCGTGGAATGATAATGGGAATAATATCTTCATGGTTCGCGGGCTACGGCCAAGTATAACGGTCACAACGATTCCATCCGTAGGTCCGTACGCGGAGGAACTGACAATGATTCATAAGAATTGGAATGGGGAAGGGTGAGGGGAGGCGTGGATTAATTGATACCAAGAATGGGAATTAAGGCTGGAATCGGCGAACGAGGAAGGTTTCGCGATGCTGCTTGGGAGAAGATTAATCGCGCGCGAACGTTTCGGAGAGGAGATGGGGGGAAAGTTTGGAAAATTGGATAATCCTTGTGTTGATTTTGCGAAGTAATTTTTGAGAAATTTTTAATCGTAGATTCAATGCATTTCTCTTCGTTTTTTTTTTTTTTATTTAGTTTATCAGAGTGAGTACTGTTCTAATAATTGTTAGAAAAAAAAAAAAAGAATTCGTCTCAACAGAGTTAAGATAATAAAAGGTTAAGGTTAAGATCGTCGAATTTTTGTATTTTTTCGTATATTAGTGATTCAATTATTCTTGCTATCATACATATGAGATCCACTTTTCAAGTCAAATGATAAGTAGTAATCCCGTTTATTTCTTTGAAGTAACGAACTGGTTATCTCCATTCCGAGTAAGCTTCTTAGCCATTTTCATCATCCTATTTGAACCAAGTGACGAATGATTGTAGACTGGTTTATCTTTATTTAAAATATTATTTCTCTTATCTTTTATCATTGGTTTCTCTTAATAGCATCTCTTGAAATATTATTATCTTGATCTTGATTCATAATTTTTTTAATAAAGAAAAAAAAATCGTTATCCTCGAATTTCAAAGAATTTAATAGAATTTTTCTTACGTTTACAGTCGATATTTTCACGAGAATTTACGAGTCGTTGGTCAGAGAACGATACTTTAATAAACCTATATTCGATGCATCGTGCATAAGAGAACTTCGAACGTATAATAAATCCTTGTTGAGACTTATTGTTCCTTGGGGGCCCGACGCGAGGAAGAGAACAAGTAAAAGAAGAAATCTTCATAATAGAGTAAAATAATCCTCGCCTTCCTACCATTCTGCTCCACGCATACGTGTATCTGGTAACCTATTTGTTTCTCATTAACGGACCTACATTAATCTTAGGACTCCTACGGAACCTTCGTGAACAAATGTGAGAACATCGAAGCTGTTTGTTACCCAAGGATTCATGCTGCTTCGACAGAATGGAGCTTCTAAAACTCTATTTAAATTCACTTTTTACCGTGTAACCGTGATTAAGTACAAGTTATCTTGTAATCGATGATTTTTGTGCAAAAAAGTAAAAGTAAGTAAAAAAAACGAATTAAACGGATAAAATTGGATAAATTTTAATAAAGATCTTTAAATATTAAAGTATATTACTGGTCAGAAAGATTTTAAAATTTTAGATTATACAAAATTTTTTAGACAAATTAAAAAGTAAGTTTTAAAAATAAAAATATTTTTAAATTTTTCTTTGTACCTGTGCTGAGTAAAATTTTGATAATAAAATCTAAAGAAAGGGAGAGAGAAAAAGAGAGAGAGAGAGAGAGAGAGAGAGAGAATCGCTAAAAAAATTGAAAAAAAAATTAAAAAAAATAATCATCAAGTTACTTACAGCCACTTGATGCACCTGCCATCGTGAATCAGCAACAGCAGCAAGAGCAGCCAAGCTTTAGCACTGCTTCTCTTCGTTATCGTCATCTTCATGTCACTTTACATTCTAGAAGATCGGCATTCTTCCTCGTCGTTGACGCATAAGAACTTTTGTTTCATGAATTTTTCAATGTTCAAGACTCTCTATCTTCACACGCGATATCACGTCTTCTTCAGGGTCCACTGTGTTTCTCTCGATGATCGGTCGATCGTTTCACGTACAATCGCGGTATATCCTTTGATATATCCATCATCGATGAATTCTATAAAATATTCACTACTACTTTCCCCAGTATTTTATACAAAACCAAACTTTACTACTTTTTCAGATTATTCTTCTTCCCGAATAAGTGAAATTCTAAAATCAAAGAATTAAAATTATAAAGGAAAAAAGAAAAACAATTAATCAAAAAAAACTCGTTGAAAGCAAGGGCAACCAATAGATACCGCAAGCAGCTTTTACTAAGAGAAGATATAAACTTTATATCGGAAGATGTACACTCTACTCTTCTTTCGATAATTACAGTTGTCGACAGGATGATGAAAGCAGCCTTAGAAATCACACACGCGAGCTCCTCCTACGAGGATCGCCAATTATCGTCAATTTTTCAACCGAGAGTTCCTCATCGATGAAAACGTATCGTGCACCACGTATATACGTATACGTTTACTTGACAAAATATATTAATTGGAGAAACGTAGGAAAACGTGGTATTATCCCGGGCACATCCACTGTCACAGGACGATTGATCGTGGTGGATGATCAAATCGAGGCAGCAGACCGGACGTCAACGCGCGGTATCCTGAATGATCTGTGACCAATACGAGTTCCCTATCGGGGAAGTTCCTTCGCACCGTCCCGTGCTGCAGGGAGTCTGCGTGGTTACAGGTGTCCGTCGAGCCGTCCCGCAGGATTTGCCGGTCGTCGTGGAGGTGGAATCCTCCTACTACTACTCTATTTCCTCCTACTTCACCTACTCGTTTTTCGTTGGACGAGGAACCGGCCACAGGGATGGCGATCAGAGTGTGAACGCGAGCACACGAGTAAGGGAGGAGGCGAGAAACTGGTCAAAGATCCGTGGCTACGAGCTGCTAGAGCCTCTGGTGAACGGAGAGGATCGTACCTGCGAGGAGAGGATCCACCGGTGTTCATCGATTCGATATTAAGTACGAATGCAGCAAGAGCAAAGTGATATAGCATGCATTTATCAAAAATTGTTTTTCGACTCGTTAATGTAAAGAACTATTTTTTTTTTTCTTTTCTTTTCTCGTGTAAAATCTTAAGTTAAGAGTTTGTAGCAGTAATTGTAAATCGAAATTGAACAGACGATTTTAAAGGATTTGGGAAAGCGACAAATTTTGGATTATCTTTTTAAAAATGTTTAGCATTACCTTACTATGTAAATATGATAAATATAGTTGGCTATATTCTTTGCAGTATCGTTTGAATGAAGCAGATGCAAGGGAAAGATGAAAGTGTCAAGAATTCAGGACAAGTAATTCTCTAATTAAGTATTCTTACCGTAATATCGTCACTTACGTTTATAGTTCTATTAAAATTCTACATATGTATTTCCCTTTTTAAGCATGAAATGTAAATGATAAAACAAGTTAAGATAATTTATGAGAATGTGTATTATAATGTAACTTAATTTTCGACTTTTTAATAATTTAATTTTCCATTTTTCTGTTTAATTCAAAATAGGATTTGAGATTGTTCTATTTTTATTCGTGTATATATATATATATATTTACTATTTATCCAAAGAATGTTGTAAGCCGGGCAAACAGTTAACTATTGAACCAATTACGTGTACGATTTGCCAATTAGTTTCAAAGAGAAAGCGGGATCGTATATTATTCGAGAACTCGAAGTTACCATTAGAAATATCACACGGAAAGTATCTAGAAAGAGCCGGTTGTTTATTTTCCAGTAGTCGTTTGGTTTTATCTCAAATTTTTCGTTTTTCTCTAATATTTTGATATTTTTATCAAATAATTTTGTCAGTCTAATGTTGGAAGTAAAAACGAAAGAAGAATGGACTTCAACTTTCATTTGTCTCTCTTTCATTAATAAATTATGCTCAACTTCGGTTTGTTCGTTTTGTTATGCACTACTAAAGTATTCCTATATTCTTGTATTCTTATATCTTATAAATATCAGAGATTTATGTTGTAAAAATTCATATTTATATAGGTATATTTCCATTTTATTTTTAATTACGTCAATGGATAGAATTTACGCGTAATGCGCGAACACAAAATGCTTGCCCCAAACTGTTTTGTAGCGGATTCGTAATATAGCGTATAAATCGTTACAAGAGCGTTAATGGTAATTAACAAATGGGGCAATTAATACTAATGACTGTTCAATTTGTTGATTACTTGAAGAGATTGAGCGCGCGTTCGTACAAAACTTTATTTCGAAATCCCATATAATTCAATAGTCTCTCTTTTCTCCTCCAACAAGTATTATAGAATCTCTAATTTTTAAAGCGTCGTTTCATTCGTTGATTTGAACTTAAATCTTTCGTTTCGACGTGTTAGAGCTTTTAACTATTTACCGTGAAAAAAAAAAAAAATCAATAGAAAAAAATACACCTCTCGTTCAAATTCCAAGGGCGTTGGATGCGATACCGATTCACCGAACCTTTCCTTATACGAGGTTCTTTATTTAAATCAAAAAAACGATACAATTTTCCCAATCGTGGAAATCTTCCTTCGTTTCCTCGAGGAAAAGATCACGCGCCTCCCTTACGAAGTTTGATCTTTCTTCCCCATTATTTCTTTGTGGCCGCGGAAGTTGGCGTTACGGCTCATTTAGCAATTTGCTTATTTGCTAGGAAAAGTCTCGGCCTGTGTGTACACGCGTTGGCTTTGTGCGTAATCGCGAAGGGTGGTGGAGAAGAAGGGGAGGATCCGTGGAACGAGAGAGGTAACTTTTGCGATCGTGTCGGGGGGGGGTTTGAGGTTTAAGTCGCTTTTAATAGCCAAGCAGCTGTCGCCGGATCTGTTTGCCCCCTTTTTATGGTAGACGTCTTCGACGAATAATGGGAGGAAATAATCTGGAACGAAAGAAGCGGCCATCCTTTGCAGTCCTCCGCCAATAAACCGCTTTTAACCCGTTCTTTTCGTCCCTTTCGACGCCACAGCTCGCTGCTTGATTCAACCGTCATTTTCACAGCACAGAGGTGAAAGTACCCGCGCAATTAATGCGAACGTTCTTCCGATGATTCACGTATTGTCACCGATCATCCAAACCGGGAAATTTCATTGCCTTGGAAGAAACGTGTTTTCTATTCACGCGCATTGTCGCGTTTCTCTCTATGATTGATAGATATAGTCTCTTCTACGTGTGTACGTTTACGATCCAGGTGAGTTGGAATCATTTAACTCCTAAAAAATAAAACAACAAATTAAAAAAAGGAACGATGCCAATGATTTGATGATATTAAACGGATGTTCGATTATTACCGATTTTTGTAACGTTTCTCTTCGCGATCTTATAGGTATTTATGATCCAGACAAGTTTGGCGCTTCGAGTTATTTAACTTCTGATGAATAGGACAACAATAAAAAAAAAAAAGAAACAATGTTAATAATTTAGTCGTTTGACGTGTGAAATAGATGTTTGATTACTAGAAACTTTTTAAGTATTTACGATTCAGTTGGTACTTTGAGTTAACTTAAAATCTCTTGACAAATGGGGCAATAATATAAGGAATAATGCTAATAATTTCGTTTGATATATAGGATAGGATTGGCGATTCTTTGCGAGAATTTTCAGTGTCAACCTTTTGTTCGTTCGCGAAATAAATTTTGCAAAATATAAAAAATTGCGAAGACTTAGATTAATTAATTCAATGTCGTGCAATTAAAATGATATCAACGTGTTTCTCGAGGAATGGCGTCTCATCTGCATAATCTGTATATAATAACGTCGCCGAGAAAAAAAGGAATTAATCCCCCGGTGATAAACTTTTTCCCATCCCTTCTCAAATCAGGAGTCTTACGCACGAATGGCTCCTCCGTCAAATTAGGAAAACATTTCTCTACTCAATAGAATTGACTGAAATAAGTTGATTCGTATTTTCATTTTGAATCGTTCGAAATCATTATAATTACTGCTTATAATAATTTTTATTTTATGTTTTTCCTTAGATTATATAAGTTAAATCCAATTAAATGGTAATATATATATGTATATACAATATGAAGTATTGAAAATTATTGTAAATTATCTGTAAAATGTAACAAATGTAATCTTTGCTTCATTGCAAATGAAAGCAATAATAACAAAACACATCTTAGCTTAATGTTATTTTCAATAGATTTTTTCCAATAGCTTATCCAAGTCAATCCAGTTAATCAATAAAAAATTGGAATTTCATTTGAGGATAATTGTATCCAAGGCATCCATGTCCCATTGAAATTTTCAGGATAAGAATGTGGATCCACGGGAGCGTTCGTTTGATGTAATAAAACTTTTTCGTATTCCGTGATAAAATAATTTAATTTCTTGACAATCTGTAAGTGAAGTAAATTTTTTTTTTAACAGCATCTTTATCAATTTAGATTTAATTTGTGAAGAAATTTTTATCTAATTAATTAATATTCATGCTTACTTCAGGATACTCGTCTGACAAATCTGTCGTTTCGCAAGGATCATTGTAAACGTCAAATAAACATTTGTCCACACATTTCGGGTAACTCGTAAAATTATTACAAACGACCCTTGCCTTGTTTCGAAGCTTAATTACATCCTCGATATTTAACGTGAAATTTGTCGTGTGAAAAATAGTAGAACCGACAAATGAATGTAAAACGCTCGATACATTGTACTCGGGGTATGACACACTCGTACCGTTATCGCCATAGTAATCGCTATACTGAATATTTTTCCCTGTATAATAAAAAAAAGTAGAATTAAATCTAATAATAAAATTCACAAGCTCGTCCTGATAAAAATATTATGCGACGAGTTCGCGAATTATCAGATCTCGTATAGAAATAAATTTAATTACCGTTAATTAATTTGTATTTTCCTAGCAAGGCGCTAGAAACATTTTCCACTTCGTCGATGTTTAACAACACGCTTCCGCGTTTCGATTCTCTTCCAGAGACAATCGTATCCCATTGATCGACACCGTCCATATTTTCTTCCAGATTTTCCAGGTTACCACCAGCGGCTGAGTAAAACGTCGGCAGCCAATCGGTTATGTGTATCAATTCATTGGAAATTCTCGAGGAATTCTGTATTAATCTCGAATAAACGCATGCCACACCACGAATTCCACCCTCGAAAAGTGTAAATTTCAACTGAAAATAAACATTGGAATAAATATTTGTAAATACATTGAGAAATATTTTTATAAGAAAACGCGATAAGAAACAAAATATCAAATGTATCCCTTCATTACCCCACGCAATGGATAGTTTGACCCGTAATTCTCCAATAATCCCTCAGTTTGCGCGCCATTATCAGACATAAAAACAATAATTGAATTTTCCAACATACTCGATTGTCCCAGCGCCTTAATCACTCTGCCAACGGATTCGTCCATCGCGGTAACCACGCCTGAAAATAGGACAAGTTGCGAGAAAATAATTGTGAAAATTGAAACCAGTGATTATCGCACTTATAGTTTCCTTTAATTTCCTATTTATTTTCTATTGCGTACCCGCATATTTTCTCCTATTGTAATCTTCGATGTATTCTAAAGTGGCATTCGTTTCTTGCTCATCCCGAACTTCCATAACCTCTTTCGCATCGCTAGAGTGAACAGCCAAATGAGATAATTGAAGGTAAAGAGGTTTCCTTCGATCATGATTCTTAATTATATTCTCAGCCCTTTCTGTAATAAGATCGGTTATGTACTCGAAATTGTAAGCGACGGACAAATTCTTTGAATTGTGGTAATGTAGATCATATCCGACGTGATTCTGGAAAGAAATATTTTAATCAAAGATTTCGAAAAGAAATTCGTTATTGAAGATTATAATATATAATCGTTCTTTTACATTATTTGTTATTTTACGACACTTACGTTTTGTTTAATGGTATGATTAAAGTATGAGATGTAACCATTATAATATCCGAAGAACGTGTCGAAACCACGACGAGTCGGTGTGTGATAATCACTATAATAGCCAACGTGCCACTTTCCTACAAGATGCGTGGCGTATCCTAATTTTCGCAAGTATTCAGGTAGAAGAGTGTTATTTAGAGGTATCGCACGTGGTTCACCCGCTTTCAGTGGATAACCTTGCATACCTGTTATGAAAAAATATACAAATATATGTTTATTGAAGAACCTTAAAAAACGCACAATTAACACTTGAACATGAACATAAATTTATCAAGAAAAAAAAAGATGATTGAACGATGAGAAAATAATAATCATTTACAATGAAAAATATAAAACATATATGTGGAGAAAGAATTTAATTTTATCGATATACATTTTTTTTTCTTTACAAAATCAAAGTTTAACAAAATATTTTTCAATATTTTTAATGGATATTTATTACTACATTAATATCCATGCATAATATCTATCGAGTAATAAATTTTTCACAGATAAAAATTTTTCAAACGGAATAAATAATTTCTTAAATATCTAATAATATTTCTTTACTTTTTTAACGATTTGTTAATTTTATCTCAATTTTCATCAATGTTATTATGAACAAAGCTTATGTATATATATATATATATATTTGATACAAGTAGTATCGAGACTTATAAAACTTCTTCGTTATTTCGACATAGAATACAAATCACTCTATCATCTTGTAATACTTCTTGCAACAAGATGACATTGAGTGTTACTCACAATGCACAATAAATTATACTTTGACACAGATTGCGTCGTATTAACAATTACGCTACTGATAAAAAAACACCAAAACGAATATATGTTGAATATCGACCGGATACATGGTATTAATAAAGTACCTGTTCGAATAGGATAACGGCCTGTGAGAAAGGCTGTCCTTGATGGCGTGCATATCGGTAGGACGTAATGTCGTTGTAATATAACGCCGTTATAAGCCAGGGCGTCTATGTTTGGCGTGGGTATTTGATTGGCACCATGAAAACTTACGTCGTTCCACCCCTTGATGAAAAATTCGAGGAATTGAGTGACTACTAACGTCTGATTTACATGTAATTGATAGGCAGTTATTGAAGATGGGATCGAAAGTTGCTTTAGATGTTCAAAAATGAACGAAATTGAATTGAAATTTCATTTTCTCTATTATTATTTTGTTGCATCGAGATATGATGGTATAAAACAAGATCAAATATTTTTCGTGTCAAGTTTATTTGTTGTCTGATTTGTATTCATATAACGAATCGCGAGCATGTACATTGCATTAAAACGATAGCAAGATAATGAATTTAAAGATGAAGTGATGATTGAATAATGCGAATGATTATATATTAATTACATTCCAACAGGATAATCTGATATATATCCACGATATTGATAATATTTAAATTTTAATAAATTATTTGATTAAGCAAATAAGTAAGTATATAAATGTATAAATTATTAATCACTTAATAATTAAATTATTAACTTAATTTATGAACACGAATCATTAATTTTCTTCTCGAAACAACTTAATTAGACGATATATTTACAACTAGTAGATAAAATCATTTCTGTTATCTGAAACCATAAAATCGTCGCTATTTGTTCTTCGAGATCGCTTCTTAATTGATCTAGTATGCGGCACGCGGTTATAAAATAGGAATTGCTATTTTTATCGTCATTAAAACTTAAGAAAGATTATCTTATTATCTTACAAGATCGTCGGCCATGATCACGATAATATTTGGTCGTGTTTCTCTTTCCCATAGTTTTAATTTCTGGGTCGAGGCGTATATACATCCTATTAGAAAAACCATAGACGCTACGAGAAGAAAGAAAGTTTTTCTTTTTTCCACTTCCATATATTCCACTTCATATAAATACTTGTATTACAATTATTTCATTCACATCGATTCGATTCTACAGAAACGTTTTAATCTCTTAATATCTTTAATCGAATCTTCTTCAAATCATGTCATTTATTGTTCAAAAAATTTATTGTTTTCACATCATATTCACATGATCGATAAAAAAGAAATATACACTCTGATTAATTATAAATTCTTTAATCTTGCACTGTGAAATTTTGAATAAAAAAAAAAAAATATTAATGGTGTAATAATTAGTGATTCACATGGCACAATCTACTTGTTATTTAGATAAAATGTATATATATATGTGTGTGTATTTAAATGCAAATTACGAGAAAATTACACACAATTATTCAGACTTATTTTTCAAAAAAAGTTCCACTCGAAAACACAACGATATAGAATCGGGAATCTTATATTTATTGCCGTGTCTCTACCACGTGCTGTCTTTATATCACTCGCATAGAAAGTACGGAATGGTACACTCTGACTGTTATCACTAAGCACCTAAGCAAAATAACTTAACGTCGAAGCCTGCACTGCAACTATCGAAAACACATTGCACATTCGTCAAGGAGAACTATCTTGTTTCTTGCAGATAACTAACCAATAATCGTTGGAATATTATCTTTTTCTTTATCCATCATTATTTTTAGACAAATTTTTTACATAACAAACTAAATAACATATTTGTTATTGAAAATATTTTAAAATATTATGAAACAAAATAATATATTTTAAAATAATTTAAGTAATATTTCAAATATATCCAGATTTAATAATAAATTATTATAATTTAAGATAATTATATATAATAATCGATAATTTTAAAATCAAAACAAAATTGATTGATTTTTTGAAATATATAATAAGGATAGGTAATAATAAAAATTTTTCTCTTGTTTTATTGAAAATACATATTTATAGCAACAAAAAATTAGGCTAAGAGTGTTTAAGAATTGGCTCTTTTCTAAAAAAAAACTGGAAAACTAAAATCTTAATATTATCACTTGATTTTTGTAGAAAGAGGGAATAAATAAGTTAATTTTAATAATCCTTAAAACATTTTTGTAAATGTAATAAATATGCATAAATAAAATAATTCTTGTAAATTTTATTAAATTTTCTGTTTTCTATTTTATTTTTGTTAAAAAAAATATATAATACCAAAATATACATACTAATTTACTATAATTGTAAATGATTCATACATAACACATTTATTTATAATTATTTAAAATTACATAATTATTTAACTCGTTAAAACTCGTGATAAATATATATATTTTTGAAAATTTGTCTCGTTAACTTTTAACTTCAAAAGAGACAAGCGATTTTTAAGTGAGAAATAAAATATTTTATATACATATATAAATATTTTAAAAAAATCAACAAAAACAAATAAATTTTACCGAAATATATTCGCAGAAAATATAATGAATTTTCTATAAAAGATATAATTATAAGATAACAATATAAAATTGTACAAACAATGTCAATGTAATGTATTTCTTTCTGCATCATTTCGAGTTTTACCTATTTTAACTTTAAAAGAATATAAATATAAATATTTCTTTAATATCATCCGCAAAAAAAAAAAAAAATGGAAAAATATATAAATTGAAAATGAACATTGTAAGTTATATGTAATCGTCTAAATAACTTAAATTATGGCAGGTAACGAGTATTTTTCGCTAAAAGATCTTATTCGAGACATATTGAATTACTTAATTACGGAAATATGAAGTCATCTATTTCAATTTCTGTCTCGTTAATTATATTTATCGCCAGAATTTATCAGTCAAGTCTAAGGTCTGCCAGCCATACTTTTTACATTTATTTTTAACATAAACGAATTTACGTGACTATATTTATAGGTGAATTTATGCTTATAACAATAACAATCGTAATAACAAATCGATCATGCTATCCAATAGAATTGTAAAAGTTATACGTTTTCACTTTTATATAAGTTCAAATCCATGATACGAAAATATTTTTCTTACCTTATATGGAGAGAAAGTCATATTTAAACATTCCAAAAGGGGATCGTGAATTTAAAAAAAAAAAAAAAAGAAAAAAATTGGAAGACACTGGAGTGTTACGAAGTTACTCAAGTCGTTATCCTGTCGTATTAAAACATCGTGTCGTTTCGAAATCAAATATCGATTGAATTTTGATAATTTATCGATGCTGCTGTAACATCGATTTCGGACAAATATTATACAATCAGATAAAATTGTTCATCAATATCGAAATAAAAATGATCGAGACATGAATGTAATATGCTAAATTGACGAATACAGTTCCGATGTTTTGAACGTATATCGCGGCTTTCGAATTCATCCATGGCTCCCACGTATTGTTCCTTCTTCTTGGATCGGCCAACCAATCCACCGGTTTTCTAATTTGCTTCATTAAAACACGACCATACTGTTCCAGGTAAAGATCCAAATCTCTTGCGATCTGTGGACACAACAATTTGAACGAATATCGCAAACGACGATAAAATGTTATCAATTATTCTATTTTCAAAGATTTAAACATTTAAACATAAATGTTGTCAGATCAAATACAGACTCGAAATATTCCATTTTCAAACAATACTATATCGATATTAATTTTTATATATCTTTTGCGTAATTAATTTTAAAATTTAAAATCGTTAAAAAGTTAAGATTACGAATATTTATTCGAATAATATATATAAATTTATAACCAGCGCATTTTGAATTATATCTATGTTTGTCTTCCAGTTCGAATAAATGATAATGACGACAAACAAAATATTAGCATTTTTATACCAACTTACGTCTGAGTGTGCAAAGAAATTTATATTATTAATCTGTTATATGATATATGGTAATCTAACTTACCAAGTTTCTAACTTGCTAAAACTAGGTTAATAAGATTACGTGTACGAAATATTGTAATATAAATATTTGTTGTTTTATTTTTAATTTATTCGATGTTATTCCCATGCAATAGATAAATTAAAATTGCAAAGGTCATTGAGAAAAATCAAACAATACATGCACGCATTGTATCGATTACGTCAGAAAGCACAGGTGAATAATAATTTATTTGCTGCAAATATCATTTTAAATGAGAAATAATTGAAGGACGATCCGTGACACTCACTCTGGCATAAGCTTCCGCGATGTTTTTTGTTTCGCATGGATCGTTCACTATATCGAATAAACATTCCGTCACGTTACAAAATGTGAACGAGTGTCTGTAGTAATACGTCACATTCGGATGACATTGGACGGTCGCTTCCCGCCTCAATTGTATCATTGTGCTTGGCTGTGTCACTGGGCCGCCCAGATGATAGGTGATACTTTGAGAAACAGCGCTTTTCAACACCACTTCCGTGTACGGTGGCGTCTCTAACGTTCTTCCAGAATCCCCATAATATTTGTCGTAATAACCGTTCCCAATGGAACCTTAAAAAAAAATTTTATTTTTCATTCTTTACAAAATATTCCGAATCTACAAATCGTCGACTTTTTTCCTTTTTTTTTTTTTTTTACTATGTCATGAAATTTTTAATCACCTCGCAACAATTTGAACCGGCTGTATATCGCCCCCTCGGTTTTCATAACCTCGTCGATATTTAACAGAAGTTTCTCTCTGCCGCGCCCTTGCTCCTCGCTAAGCACGCGCCATTGATCGATCCCATCGATCTCGCCCAGATCCTTTAGATCACCACCGGCTGCTGAATAAAGTGTGGGCAACCAATCGGTTATGTGTATCAATTTCTTGAAAACGCGGGCCGCTTTCTCCAATCTCGACGACCATAATGCCGCCACTCCCCTCACCCCTCCTTCGTACAAAGTGTATTTTGTCTGCAATAATAACATTTCAAAATATCCCATTTGTTTGACTCACTCGCCCGACTTTGCGAAATCGATTTTTCGTAAAAAGTTTGCAAAGTTTTTCTTTTGTTTCTTTCACTTTTTCAACTCGCTTTTGAATAAATAAAAAAGATAGTGCAACAGTACGTAGTCTTACTCCTCTTAATGGATAGTTCGAGCCGTAATTTCTGTATCTACCGATCGAAGCTGCTCCATTATCGGTGAGAAACAGGATTAGGGAGTCCCTCAGCATTCCTTTCTCCCCTAACGCGTGAACTATACGACCAACCGATTCGTCTAATTTCGACACCATTTCTAAAAATAACAACACATTGCGTGCAAATAACATTACTCGGATAAGTTATTCGAAAATTTTTAATATCCAATTTAATTTTTTTTCTCTTTTCTTTACTGGCGTATTTTCGCCGATTTGGCTCGCGAATCTGTATAATCTCGTCGCTGCTCGAGTCGTCGGGTTGTTCTATGGGTGCGTGAACCGCTAGATGCGAGATCTGAAGGTAAAGAGGTCTAGGAAGCTCGTGATTCTCGATGATCTTGATCGCTTCCTTGGTGAACAGATCTGTCACGTATTCGCGCTTGATTCCATGCGCCGGATCATCCCCACGATGCATGTCGTATCCGGTCATATTCTGTGAGAAGAAGAGGCTAGTTTTCCTTGATCGAATTACTTTTCGAAGGAAGAAAGATTAATAATAACTTTTTTCTCTTGCCCGAATTCTGAAGGAAAATTCACCTGATTCGAATACTCGTAATCGTAATACGTGATGTGGCTGTTGTAAAAACCGAAGAACGTATCGAAACCCCTATGCAATGGCGTGTACTGGGGCGTGTGGTATCCCATGTGCCATTTCCCAATTAATTTCGTCGTATATCCCAAGCCTCGTAAATGCTCCGGCAAAATTTTTATGTGCAACGGAAGACCGCGTGGCTCGCCACCACGAATTCCATCCCCTTGCATCCCTAATAATAAGAAAGGAATAACTCCAAATCATTTTTAGATCGATTATTACTTTTAACCAATTAAATTATTGATTTATTGATTCATCGAACGGAATCTTGTTGACTAATATATTTAATCTATTCTCGAATGCATATGGGTATAATATGTACCGATACGAATCGGGTAAAGGCCGGTGAAAAAAGCTATCCTAGATGGTGTGCTTGACGGTAGAACGTAGTGCCTGTTTAATATAATTCCATTGTATGCGAGAGCGTCAATGTTGGGAGTTGGTATTTGATTCGATCCATGAAAACCAACGTCGTTCCACCCCTATCGATCAACAATGTAAAATATGTAGATATAAATTCTTTTTTTCGAATAAACGTCGATCAGTTTTAAAAAGGATAATTCTTAATTGTCCAACAAGATCATATCGAAAGGAATCTTTTCACAAGATCATTGAGTTTACATCATTTTTTTTTTTCCTCAAAAAAATGAACATGGTCTATATAATAATACGTAATAATTTCAATTTGTCTTTCTTATTATTAATACGAATATTATCGAATTAGATACGTATGTAAATGTACAAGCTCCCGCTTTTTTTGCCAAAAATAATATCGTCTTCTCTTATTCATAACGAGCACAGTATGCTTCATCATATTGTTTATGAATTGTGAATACGTTGAAAAAGCAATTGGTGCAAGTATCAATGCAAGTGCAGATTTTTTTTTAAATTTCAAGTATATTAAAAAATTACGCTTATAAGTTTGTGGAGAAGATAGCAAACGATTATATAATAAAATATGGTAACGTAGTATTGGAGAGAGATATATCGCGGTAGAGGAAGATTTTTGTTTTGCAGTTACGATGAGTCACAAACAGCATCCTTGTTAAACGCGGAGGCGTAGGTAATTTTCGAGCAACACTAATTGTCCTTAACTAAGGACAATTTTAATTCAAACCGCTTTCATGCTACAGATTAATCATAGCGAATTAAGCAAAGTAGACAAGCATAAGTAATGTAGAAACGGATCTATTTCGCATAAATACGCAAGCTTCGTAATTTTTTCTTTTGATTTATATATAATAATTTTTTAATTCATTTTATTATAATATCTATAGATAATCTATAGATAAATTTTTTTGATAAAAAAAAAAAAAATTACACGTTTAGAAAAATTTAATTGTTTTTGCCTTTCTCTTCTTTTAAAAAACTTTTATTTTTTTCACATGAATAATAATTTTTATTCGTTTCAAATTCAAAAATTTATTACAAAATGTTAATAATTATCCTGCGTAAAAAATTGTCCGATATTATGTACTCTTTGTACATTGATATTTACCTCTATTTTTCATTTGCATCGCTTTATGGAAAATATACTATTATTTACAATAGAAATGATTGAAAAAAAATATATACATGTAATCAAAATATAAATAAAATATTATATTATCATTATCTTACCAAATCATCAGCCATGAATACAATAATGTGAGGTGCCGTTTCATATAGACCGAGTACACAATCGATAGTTAATATTAAGGGTAGTAAAGATATAGTTATCGATATTATGGAAAAATGATTCATTTTTGGCGAAAATAAATAAAAAAAAAAAAGACAACAAAGTAAAAATAAAGTAAAAATCCAGTGAAAAATTATATAATTTGTAACACAAGAAGGACACGATTTTTTTAACAATTCGAAACACAATTTACTAAAATAAATGATCAGAACATTACGCGATGTTTATGTAAGAGCTCCTGCGAGACACAAAAGAATGAGGAACAGAAATAAACACGTTTATATAGTCCACCCACGAAGAAGCATGTCATGGAAGCATGAATGAACCATTTGAAAGGGAAGGGAAAATACACTAATAATTATGGTAATAAAGATACATCTTTTGGGTTGCTTATCGTCTTACGTGTTATTTTCTTGTACTTATGTAATTATTGTTATAACGTTTATTTGCGTACGACACATTTTGTATGAAATTTTTTTATATTAAATATATTTTTTAAAGATTCCATTATTCTTTTACACTACATAAATATACAGTTTGTTCTAAATTTTCCCATTTCATGATTTCAAGTTAGTTAGAGAGAGAAGATGCGATATAATTTAATAAATAATTTACACATTTATATATTTTTGTAAAAAATAAACACTTAAAATTGTTTTCATCAAATATATTTATAAAATTGTTTTCTTTATAATAAAAATGTTTGCAAAAAATATTCAAAAATTTTACATAAATTCATAAATTGTCTTACAGTAATTAATCACAAAAAGTTATCAAAATTATATGTTTCTTAATCTATATTTATTAGCTATCAAAGTTTATTGATTTACCAATGAATCAATTTATATAGTATATTATATATATTTATAGTATAAAACTTATTACATAAAAAATTTAACTGTATTATATAAATTTTGTATTAAAAGTTTTTTACTATTTATAATTTAAATTTCTTCGTCAATCAAATATTATTTTTTAAATTAAAATTAATATGATAAAATTTTGTAATTTTTATTTCATCAAAATTTTAATTTTAAGAATTTATACAAATCTTTGTATTGTATTATGATCTTGTAATTTTTTTAATGAATGCAAATTATTCCACCATTCTGGCAATTTACGTTCGAGTATCAATTTAAACCAAGGAGTTAATGGAGCATTAAGATTTTTTACAAAATTGGTAATATCTGATTGTGATACCCAACAAAGTTCACTTATTTCGTCTGGATTTGGATCTAATTTTAAATTGTTTTTTTGTATAAATAATACATAATCTATTTCATGTTCACCCCATTCATTTTCCACTGCAAAATAATGAATTCTTGTTAAATATACAAAATCTGATATCGATATTTGTGACAAAGGAATTCCTAATTCATAATTGAGTCTTCTTCGTGCTGCTCTACGAATTCCAATCGCATCATGTTCTTCAGTTTCTCCAGAAATTTCAAATAATGGATGACTACAACATGTATTTGTATAATGATTTGGAAATGTTATCTACAAAAAAATATTATTTTATATTGTTCTTAATATATCTTTCAATGCAAACATAGAATTTTCTATATGATAAAAAATACTGCTTACCTTAGTAGCAGATCTTTTTTGAAGTAATAATTCTCCTTTATCATTAAATAAAAAGACGCTAAATGCTCGATGAAGTAAAACTTGTCCATCAGGATTAACAATATGACATTCTTTTTTTGTAGCATCACCAATAGATTTATCATATGAATCAACAAGAATACAACGTTCTTGTAAAGCAGTTAACTGCAAAGTAGCTTCAGCAGTACTTAGTAAATTCATTCTGGAAGATGTCAGAGTTTGTGCACCAGTATATACTGTTCGAAGTATTTTAGCTATCATAATAGCGTTTTTTTTAAATAATATTCAATATATTTATAATATTTTATGCATGTAAATTTTTTTAGTACATATGGTAATTTTTTAGTATTTATTCTGTAAAGTATAGGTTAACTAAATCAATGATCTCGTGTAAATTTCAAATTTTAAATTTTTAAAGAATGATGCCAAGGTTTTTAAAGTAAAATATAAAAATATAAAATGTATATTACAATATAAAATTTTCCTTTTTCTAAGAAATGCAGCCAAATATTTTTACATATACATTAAACAATTATTTCTTCTTGATATCACAATATATTTTTATAATTATACAATTAAAATATCTACATATATTACTTAAAAGAACGTTAACTGTAAACTACCTCTCATTTATATGTATTATCTCTTTTATATATGCGTTATATATACTACTTTATCTACAGATCCATTTATAGATATTTATTTGAAAAATGCTTATTTGAAATTTTATGTCAGTATATTTTCATATTATATTCATTATTATATTTTTTGAAATATTATATTTAAACGATCCAATTTTCTTTATATATTAAATTATAAACAATTATTAAATAAATTTTAAAAATTAAAATCAAAGATTTCAAATAATTACTTTGTATTTCTTATATAAATTTTTTAAACGCTAATATAATATAGTAATTTTTATAATATTTCTATTATTGTTTTACAACTATAGATTTATAGTAATATTTAGAAAAATTAATTTACATATAAAACATATATATTCTTATTAAAAAATTTAATCTATAAAATATACTTTTTATAAAAATATAAATTATATATAATAATTATATAAATTTTATATATGAACTACAGTACCATCTCTGGAATACAAATACATTTAAAGAATTACGTTTCTTAAAATCTTTAAAAGATGGAACTAATCTTCAATTCTATCTTGCCTTTGAAGAGATGTCTTTGGCACTTAACAGATGGCACTAATGATCAATTCATACTCTATATTTTTCTCAATATTTTTTATTCTTTCTTAATGTGCTTCATTTGCGATATTCTGAAGAGGGCGCTAATTTCAATATTTTTACTCTATCTCTGTCTTTTTTTCTTTACTTACTATTTTTTTATTTATACTTACTCTTGCTCTTTACGTAAGTTTAACTGCAAATGAAATACGATATTTCAATTGAATACATTTTCATCTTTCCTAAGAATTATGTTATTTTACATACATATATCTTTTAAATCTATAGATTTCCAAAATTATAATTATTATTTTCGGATTTTATTTGTCCAATAAAACACACAGAAAGAAGATAAAAATTTTCTTTTTAAAATGAAGTTTATTATATATATATTTAAATATTTCTGTATAAAAATGTTAATTCTATTTTGTTATTATATTTATTGCAAAACTAAAATAGAACCCGTTTCTAAAAATTATAATACTATAGTTTATGTATAAAACATAAACATTACATATTATAATATATAAAAAGCAAGAAAAATTTTTAATCAATTTCAAAATTTATTTTTATGATATAAAAAGAAATAAATTTACAACAACAACAATATTTATTATAGGCAAATAAAATTGATATTTTGTTAATCTTATATTACATTATGTGCTATATGAAACATACAAATATTTAAATAATATCTTATAATGTATCTACTTATTTACTCATATGGCTATATTATTTGAATTGTAATGATCGATAATTCTCGTTGCTTCTCGATTTCGATTGATCGAATCGCTTTATGGGGTAGTTGAGTAGATTTCACGATATTCAGTGTGTCTGCATAAAGACCGTTATATAAAAAAAATTATTTCTTTAATGTGTTATTTATTATCTACGTTTCGATATAATTTAAGTCATTTTACATCGTCTTGTTAGTTTATTAATATAAATTGCAAAATGAGTGAAAACGCAGAAATTACAGGAGTAATATCGCCAGAAGATGCAGCCAGAGCGGAAAAATTTAAAGAAGAAGCAAATGAGTATTTTAAAAGTGTGTTTACAAAATTTTCTTATAAATTTGTTTTTGTTATTTAATTTACATTTAAGTATTAAATTAAGAAAAAATTCATAATTACCATTAAAATAACATAATTTAGTCACGTGTACATTTAAAACTAACCCAACTTCTGTAACATAAATGATCATTAAATTGTCGAGTTTAATCTCATTATTAAAAATTAACAATTTAAAATAATCATATTGCTTATCATATCATTGTTATAAATCTACCTTAAATAATTATTTTTATTTCTAATATTTTACTATCTATTTATGATAATAAATTTTATATATTTTTTTATTTGATATATTAAATATAGTGTTTATTTTGACAACATAAAAAGATTTAATTAATAAAATTTTGTTATAATTTTATTGCATTTGTAATAAGTGTTATAAATAATTAAAATTTCATTGATTATATTTTTTATTTTCAATCATCTTATTTTTAATTATTTTTTTTCAGATCAAGACTACACCAAAGCTATAGAATTATATACTAAAGCCATAGAATTAAATCCTACAGTGGCAGTTTATTATGGAAATAGAAGTTTTGCTTATTTAAAAACAGAATTTTTTGGATATGCACTTACAGATGCATCAAAAGCTATTGAATTAGACAAAAATTATGTGAAAGGATATTATCGTAGAGCCGCAGCTCATATGTCACTTGGGAAGTTCAAATTAGCTCTTAAGGATTATAAAACTGTTACTAAAGCAAGACCAAATGATAAAGATGCAATGATTAAATATACAGAATGTTGTAAAACATTAAAAATGTTAGCCTTTGAAAAAGCAATTTCTGTAGAAGAAAATAAGAAAAATATAGCTGATATGATTAATTTAGAAGCCATGGGTAAATTATTATATTTAATTATTGTATAATATTAATATTATAATATTGTATAATATTATAATTATTTGATTATGATTATTTCATGAGTTTTCTAAAAGAGAAATTTTTTAATTTCTTTATTCTATAGCTATTGAAGATGAATATACAGGGCCTAAACTTGAAGATGAAAAAGTTACATTACAATTTATGCAAGATCTATTAGAATGGTATAAGAAACAAAATAAATTACATCGTAAATATGCTTATAAAATTCTTTTAGATGTAAAAGCATGGTTTATGGCACAACCAAGCTTAGTTGATATTACAATTCCTGAAGATAGTAAATTTACTATCTGTGGAGATATACATGGACAGTACTATGATTTACTTAATATATTTGAATTAAATGGATTACCATCGGAAACTAATCCATATGTATCCTTTTATAATAGTATATAGATTATATTATAATATATTTTAAGTTTATTAATTTATGAAATAAATAAATTATTAGTACAAAAAAAAAATAAAGAATGAAAAAAAAAAATAAAATGAAAGAATACATATGTAATCATATGTTTCTTAATCATTATATAGTTATTCAATGGAGATTTTGTAGATAGAGGCTCCTTTTCTGTAGAATGTATATTCACCTTATTTGGATTTAAATTATTATATCCAAATCACTTTTTTATGTCTAGAGGTGTGTTTTTATCAATCTATTTGTATCATTAACATGTATGCATTCATAGTAAAATAAAATGTTTAGGTAATCATGAATCTGCCACAATGAATCAAATGTATGGATTTGATGGTGAAGTCAAAGCAAAATATTCTGCTCAAATGGCTGAATTATTTACAGAAGTTTATAATTGGCTTCCTCTTGCCCATTGTCTTAATAATAGAATACTTGTAAGTTTATATATTATCAAAAAAAAGTTGTTAATTATAATGATATACACATAAATTATATTTATGGATTTCATAGGTAATGCATGGTGGATTATTTTCAAGAGATGATGTTACACTAAAAGAAATTCGAGAAATTGATAGAAATAGACAACCACCAGAAGAAGGATTAATGTGTGAATTATTATGGTCAGATCCACAACCACAACCTGGAAGAGCACCTAGTAAAAGAGGAGTTGGTGTTCAATTTGGTCCTGATGTTACACAAAATTTCCTTGCTATGAACAATCTTGATTACATTGTAAGAAGTCATGAAGTAAAAAACGATGGATATGAAGTTGGCCATGATGGAAAATGTATTACTGTGTTCTCTGCTCCAAATTATTGGTATATAAACATATATTATTAATTAAATTCTATAAAATTAATAAAATCATATGCTTAATAATTAATTAATATAAAAATATTTATTTTATTTTTTCATAGTGATACTATGGGTAATCGGGGTGCCTTTATCACACTTAATGGCAAAGATATGGAACCTCATTTCACATCATATGAAGGAGTGGTATGTTACAAACTAATTAGTAATTTTTGAAATTTCTAATAGCATTATATGAATATATATTTTTTTCAGCCTCATCCAAATGTAAGGCCAATGGCATATGCTAATTCTCTACTAAAATTCATGTGCTAGTGGAACATCCTAGGTACTGTTGATAAATAAATGAATAACAATAACTGAATACGAGTAGCCCAATCAAAGTGTGCGTAATATATTTGATACCGAAATGGAGAAGGTGAGAAAGGCTTAGGCTTCTCCAACAATAAAATACTGTATTCTTTTTAGGAACAAGAATATCTTCTGTATCATAATAAATACAATGAAGGTATAATATTGATGGGTACAAAAATGAAAGAAGTTTGCTTGTTTTGACAACTGGCGAACAGATGTATCAAATTTTCTTGTCTATGATAAGAACAATGCCTCATTAGCAATTTATGTTTCATTTTAATGAAATGACGCAAAGAGAACGTTTCTATTTTGTACCCTCAATTAAACCACCTTATTCACTAAAGATATTAATGTTCACGCACAAACTGAATAAATGATCTCAATGATCTCAACAGATTAACTTATATTCTAATATTTGCAGAAGGTGCTGAACATGTAATGAACACACCTGTTATTCTTTTAATTTATTCTTTAAGGAATAATGGTGGTTTTTATAAAATAATAATTATTACAAAAATATCTAATACATATGCGATCTAGCATGACTATGTAGTACAATTTTCCAGCCAGTCACTATTTGTCACGTTATTTGTGATGACTACTTTTTCATAAATTTAACGTGATTGGAAGGATCTCTTTAATCTAACATTTTGTTTTTTTGTTAATAATAAACGATGTTTATAATGTATTTAAATTTCATATTGTTTTTCTTAAAAAAGAGGAATTATGTCTTAAAAAATAAGAGGAAAAATTTCTTCTGGTAAGTTATTTCGATTTTGACGATTCACAGTAATAATTTTACATCTTTCATCTTTATGAAATTTTTGAAATAATGATAAATATCTTGGTGGTACTTTATGTACTTGAGGTATGGTTGCAATTACAAATGATTTATTTGAACTTCCAAAAAATAATTTTACTATTTCATCTTGAAATTTTTGGCTAAATAATTCCATTTTTCCAATTTCATCTATAATCAATATGTCCTAAAGAAAAAAAATTAATAATTTGATATATATATATATATATATATGAATAAGTAAATAACATGTAAAACTATTTTACTTACTGCATTAGAATTAAAGATAGGTAATACTGCCACTTCAAAATTATTACGAAACACATGATAGTTTCCCACTTTATATTTAGAATATTGTGAGTGAGTTATGACATTTCTGTTTACAAGTAGTATTGTTTCAGATGAAAAAAAGATTAAATTTTATATACTTATAAAATAATACTAACTCAATTCGTGCCAATATTGTTCTTTCCTCACGATTTTTTATTAGCACAATATCAAATCCAATCCTATTACCATCTTGATTTTTAACTTCTTCAGTATAAAATCCATTAAATTTATAATTTTCTTTTTCTATCATTGAAACTAATTTTTTACATACTGTAGTTTTTCCTATACCTATAGCAATTCTAATTTAAAATCACTATAAATTCCTTTTTTTTTATAATAAATAATAAAATTAATTAAAAAATTTTCAAAAAAGTAAAATATATATTGTTTTTATTTATTATATTATATAATATTTTTAAAATTATACGTTATAACGAAGATTTAAATTATTCAAAAATTTCAATAATTAAAATAAAAATAAAATAAAAATAAAGCATATTAAAAACATTTAAAGGTTAGTAATGGATAATTTTTAAAATACTTCGTAATTTTTAAAAGTGGCGGACTTACCAGGTGGTCCAGTGAGAAGTACGCGTGAGACACGCAACGCGGCGCCGGTATCCATGCTTCTTGTTTTTCTAAGTTTAAGTAGTGACTGTAAGTGACATTTGCACATAAAAATAAATAATCAAAACACAGAAAGAAAATATTTTGGATTAAATACAATTATTTAATTAGAAATGTATGTATTTCAAAGATATTGATAAAAGATTGAAATAGAAAGACTGATAAAATTACCGCAACGTGGAGCCGCTGGATAGCGATCAGCTGATCGTGCTCGAGTAAGACAATCTGTTCGGGTGGGCTGAAACGCCTGTGTATATGTAAGTATCTAATACTTTGGTTGCGTTCAAAAGTGCGTTGGTGCGTGATACGCGTCTCATGTAACCTATGCTTGTGTAAGTTTGTGAGGTGTATATTCGCGACACGTCTGTCACAGAATAAATATAAGATCGACCACGACAAGACTTATAATAGTTACAACCTATAATAATCTCGTAAATTTGATTGCGCCACAAATTTCCTTATTCTGTAGGTTTCCCTGTTTTTCTAAATACATGAGATAGTCTTAGAATTTTGAAGTGTACGAAGGATTATTTAATCGAAGAAGAGAATACGGGCGTTCGTTACAGGATACATGGAAGAAAGGGACGAAGGGTGAAGACGACGGTTCTGTCCGTTTTCATATACATATCAGTATCTGCAAAGAAGAAATGGCTCGTCCTTCCAATTGTAATCCGCTTTCCTATCTCGTCGAAAGACAAATCGACGACAAAGTCGATTACTGTAAACGTCTCGTTAACGCCAGATTCGAAAGCTCCGAAAATCTGTTTAGAAAAGATCTATTATCGCATTATGGATGCGTTAATGCAATTGAATTTTCGAATCAAGGAGATCTTCTTGTTTCTGGTAAAAAGTTAACAATGTATTTTATTTATTTTATTTACGGTACTATGCCCGTCGACTTAGGAAATTCAAGTTTGACGGAAAATTAAAACCGTGTAATATTTTAAGTAAAAAATTATGCAATTGTATTGTATTATTTTTTAGATACTGATTTTTTTAATATACTAAATTGATTATTAATGAAATGAAAATATAATTTGACATATTTTATTGTAACAGGTGGTGATGACAGAAGAGTTTTATTATGGAAAGTGGAGCAAGCAATACAAGATGTAGGCAAACCTGCAGTAATGAAAGCTCAACATATTAGTAACATTTTTTGTCTTGGTTATGATAGTAGCAAAACAAAAATATTTTCTGCTGGAAATGATGATCAAGTTATTGTTCATGATTTACGAACGTATGAAATTTTTATTATTAAAAAGTTTTATGTTTAATCATATAAAACTAAATAATTATTTCTTTTATAATAAAGGGGAGATGTTGTGAATTTCTTTTTACATCAAAAGCCTGTTTATGGATTGTCAGTACATCCACATAATGACAATGTATTTGCAAGTGCATGCGATGATGGCAGAGTTTTAATTTATGATATACGAGGATCTAGTGCTATGGAAACATTTTGTTTAGCACGGTATAAAACTGCTTTTCACTCTGTAATGTTTAATCCTATTGAACCTAGGATGCTTGCTACCGCCAATGCTAAAGAAGGTGTTAGCATGTGGGATGTAAGAAAACCTTTAAAGTAAGTAATCAATGCAAATAAAAAATATAAAAATATTTTATAAAAATAACAATCTTTTTGTATTTGCAGACCTATATTACGTTATGGAAATGAAACTTCAGCTCAAAGTTGCATGAATGTTAGATTTAATGCAGCAGGTAATAGATTATTAGCTTTGAGAAGAAGATTGCCTCCTGTACTTTATGCTGTAGATTCTTCTACTCATTTATGTCAATTTGATCATCCTGGATATTATAACAGTTGCACAATGAAATCATGTTGTTTTGCTGGAGATAACGATGAATATGTACTTTCTGGTAAATAATGTGCTATAATAAATATTTATAAATAATTATAAATTAAAATTTGTATATATATTTCAACTTATGATTTTTAAGGTTCTGATGATTTTAATTTATACATGTGGAAAATTCCTTCTGAGAATGTAAAATGGGTAAATTCTGCACATATGGTATTACGTGGTCATAGATCTATTGTAAATCAGGTACGATACAATCAAGCTAGTTGTATTTTTGCTTCATCTGGAGTTGAGAAACTTATTAAGATTTGGAGTCCATTTCCTCTTGGAAGTAATTGCTTAGGTGGATTAAAGGTAATATGAAGTAATTTTAATACAAAATATATTAAGATGAGTAATTCAAGCAGATAGAAGATGATTTTATATGAAAAATTTTAATTAATTTATATTTGAAAAGTTTCTTGAAAACAAAAAAAATTTTTTTTATTACCTCATTTTTATATAATATCGCCGTTTATTTGCTTGTATTAGCCATCTTGAAATATTCTGTATATATTTTTTAATATAATATAATAACATATACTATTATTTTTTTATATTTATACTTAGAGAGATGATGGAAAACAAGAGAGGCAACGTAGAGTATTTACACATGATGAATATATTGGATTAGTATTACGTAGTGGTCAATTTATGACACATGATTATAGCCATCAATCAACTAGAGAAGATCCTAGAATGATGGCATTTTTTGATTCGTTGGTACAACGCGAAGTTGAAGGCTGGAGTTCTGAAGATATGTCAACAGCACCTCAAACTCCTAGTGATTCTGAAAGTAATCTTATAGCTGGACGGGTTTATAGCGCAACAGATTCTGATGGTATTTTTAAATTAAAATTATATTGAAATAATAAGAAATTATTATAATGCTATAATAATATATATTAATAATATGTGCAATATACAATTGTAAAGTTTCAAATAAAATATTAATATTTTTTTTATAGATTCTATAGCATCTGATCGTCAGTTGATGTTAAGTATTTTGGGACCTGCAGTAACATTGGCATCTCATGGATCCTCTGGAGGTGGTGTAGCTCCTGAAAGACCTTTAGAGTCTCCAAATCGTATAACACGACTTATAGCATATCGTAGAGAAAAACTAATGAGACTTGCAGCTGTAGATTGTGGTGCACCAACAAATAATACTTCAGCTGCAGTGTCAGAACCGTCTGCATCAGGTTCTGCTAGTGAAGGGGACAATACACAAATTAAGTGTAAATCTAAATCAAAATTAAAATTTATAAAAAGAAAACATGGTAAAATTACTGAAATCAGGAGAGCTGGAATAAAGTGTGCAGTGCTACAAATTAATAGTGACTCTGATAGTGATGAACAACCTGTTGATACAACTCAGCCTAGTACCAGTTCTGGTGTAGTTTCTAGAAGATCAAGATATGTTGTGCATATTGAAAGAGATGCAAAACATTCAAATTACAGTAGCAGTAGTTCAGAAGATAATGATATTTCTAGTAAACGAAAACATTCAAAAACTGATTCTGATACTTCTACAAAAGTACACAGAAGAAAACATAAGAAATGTAAAAGTAATTCAAAAAGTGATATTTCTAAAAATAAGAGCAAAAGACAAAAAATTGATTACGATACAAAAAAAAGAAATCAGATTGGAAGCTTTATTTAAATGATGTTAGTAATGCAATAAAAGTTCAAAAAGATGGTTCATCTATGTCAATGAACAAATCAAGCAAAGTTCCTTCAACTCCTGATAGTGGTATCACGTCAGGAGTGTCTACAAGTGAAAAAAATGGTGAACAAGCACAGAAAGATCAAAATGATGCAGAGAGTTCAGATCACGAGCAAAAACTAAAAAATCTAGAATATTTTAGAAAAAAAGTGAATGTAGTAAGAAGGAGCTACCGTATTCGATCTAAACCCTTGTCTCAAACTATTTCAACTACAACCGATTCTTCCGATTAAGCTCCTTACCTTCGACTTTTTAATCCCTTTCCTTTTGTACATAATAAATCTGTGATTCCTTGAAGTATATTTTTATAATACTAAGTTTGTTCACATGCGAATATGACCGGTTTTTCTATCTTCTTTTAGACTTTATTATTTTTCTGTTATCTTCATATGTATCCTACATTTTATTGGAATCTCTTATGATGCAAGACTGTCTTAAAAAAATAAATCTTCTCTCATCATATTTAAAACAATTTTGAGTATAATCTAATTATAACATTTCATAATTGGTACAAAGGGTTGCGAATTTAGTAGTCTCAAATGTTAAAAATTATTAACAATTGACGTCTCAATTATTTAGAATTCGATTTATTATAATAAAGTAAACATGTTTGGATATGACCATTAAATCGTATATAATCGAAACTCCAGCAAGACACCGCCGAGAATTATAGGTAAATTAATGCTGCATTAGCTATAATAAATGATTCAGCTAATGTATATTGTTGACATGGTTTGTAAGTGTGATGGAAAATAATAAAACAATAAATTGATATACATTTTTTTCTTATATGTTTAGCTTTGAAAACAAATTAAGAATATTGCATTATTTAATCCTGCATTTATACGTCTTTATTAACTTATAATAAATAAAGGAAAGAATTATCTAAATTTATGCATTAATTTATTATCCAATAAATTTATATATCTACTTTATTTAATATCAAATATAAGTTTCAGTTTAATTTTAATATAAAGTATAAATATAAGAAATTTAGATTTGAATATGATTAATTTCTTTATGACATCATTGTGGTATGAATATATATAGCATTTCCTGTAAATACATACCACGTCCTGTAAATAAATTCTTACTTCTTCCAGTTTTAAAAGTAGTGCATATGATGTTTTCTAATTGTTCACTTTACTAATATTAATAATTCAAAATGATATATAACTTTATTAATCAAAATATCAAAATTAATATATGGTTTTTCATTTTTGTATTTATAATTTTAAAATATAATATATTAACATATAATTTAGATATTAATAATGTTAAAATATTTAATATTCCTAAAACTTCTTAATCAAAGAGGAAGTTATTTTGGATTTTCTGTTGCACTTTATACAGAAAGGAGAGAGATTCCATGCTTCTTGTAGGTGCTCCTAGAGCAAATTCAAGTATAATAAAAAATGTAATTGAACCAGGTACTGTATATCAATGTTCAATTAATAACAGCTGTAAGGAATGGATTATTGATAAAAATGGAAATGGTGAATATAGTGAGTGGAATCAAATTAAAGACAATGCCTGGATTGGTGCAATAATTGCTGAGAAAATAAAACCAATTCTAGAATTGTGGTATGTCTAAATTCTTTATTCATTTCTTCATACATTTTTTTAAAATATAATTAATATCTGAAGACATAATTAATATTTTTTAATTAGTTAAAATTATAAATAGGTTTGTAGTCCATAATGGAAAAAAAAAGACAAATATAATTGATATATGAATGGTATTTGTTACTTATTATCAGTTAATAATATTACATTTTTTGAAAAAGAAGTTGAAAACAAAATTTTATTACTTTCAAATTATTCAAATTTTGTATATTCAAATAATAGAAAAGTTTATAATTTTGAAATGAGTTAAATTGGTTTTTCAATAAATATGGTATTTAATGGATTAAAATGGAATTTAATATTAGGTAGACTTGGTGTATTTAATTGAAAAGGCTTACCTTTATTTGTTAAAAAACCAATTTATGGAAAAATACAATTTATAATCCTTCAACTAAAAATGAAAAAAGAATTCGTAAAAATAGTTATTTCGGTAAATAATATATTTTTAATAATAATTAAATATTTTTATAATATAAATCGTAAACATTTATATAAAAAAATATTAAAAAACATTTATTCATTTATCAATAATATATAAAATAATAATTTATAATTATATTTTATTTAAGATATGCAGTAACATCTGGTTATTTTATAAAAAAAGAATTATGATTTGTTTCTGGTACTTCAAAAGATTCAAATATGAATGGAAGTGTATTATATTTACTTTTTCTGAAATTAATAATGCAAAAATAAATATAAATTTTTAAGAGGTGAATAATATGGAGAATATTTTGGTGCTGCTTTAACATTATGTAATCTCAATGATGATGCTGAAGATGAACTAATTGTTGGAGCACCATTATGGTCAAGAGATATAGATGAAGGTCACATATATGTATATACTGCTTTATCTAATGTATGTTGTACATTCTAAATATGTTATATTAAAGTATAATATAACATATAATATAAAGTATATTATATATATTATATATTAAATTCAAACATTAATATTAGGAAAATTTTGAAAAACAATCATTTGATGGAAAAATATCTGAAAGTAGATTTGGTTTTACTATATCTTGTCTTGATAATATTGATTATGATGGTTATAATGATATTGCTGTTGGTGCACCATATGAAAAAGGAATTGGTGCAATATATATCTTTAATGGCAATAGTAATGGATTACTTAGACATTATAGTCAAAGAATAATTGGAAAACAATTTGCAAAAAATATCCGTGAATTTAGAATTTCAATTTCAGAACCCTGTGACATAAATGATGATAAATATCCTGATATTGCAATTGGAGCTTATTTATCAGAGCTTTTTTAATAAAATCAAAACCTATTATAATAATTACACAATAACTACAATTGATCTATGAAGATAAAAAATTATTAATAATTTCTTCTTCCTTTTTAATTAATGTATGTACATATTATGATGGAATAAATGTTCCTAAATTCCTTCGTAAGTATATAATTAAATCTTTATAATAAAATTCGATATATTAATATCTTTAATATAATATTTAAGAAATATTTAATATTAAACAATATTTAGGAGTTGTTAAATTTTTGAAAATAGATCAAATATATGGAAGGGTTTATTGTAATATAGAAAAAAATAATATTAATATTTATAAATTTTCTGAAATCTTATATAAATTTAAAAATTTATGTAAGAAAATTGAAATACATTTAAAGGTAAAATTTTATAAATATAGTTAAAAAAATATTTATTTTAATAAAAATATATTATACCTGCTTAATTTATTAGCAAAATATTCAAAACATAATAAATCTAATTAAAAATCTGTAAAATTATTTTGGAAAAGAACTTAAATAACAATGAGAGAAAATTGAATTTTTTTTGTACATCTTGTGCAATCATAAATAAATTACTTTCTAAAACTGAAAATCTCACAAAATTACTATTTGCTCTAGACTATGATGATAATATTTGTACCTCAGATGTGAAAATATTATTTTCAACAAATTTAAAGTCTAATAATAGATATATCGTAGGATCTACATTTACTATTAAATTTAAATTAGATGTTTTTAATAATGGAAAATCTGCATATTAAGCTAAAATATATGTATATATATTATCATTATCAAAAATATTATCATTAGCAAATATACCATTTTTATGTATAGAAAATTTTTATAAAAATAACACTTTAGAAGTAATATGTGATCTTGGAAATCTACTTAAAAAAAACGTAAATATAATTATTTTTTATATTAAAATATTTTTAAAAATATAACATAATTATTTTTTTATTAGAAAAAAATAATATTAAATTTGGATATAAGTAAAGTTCAATTTAATATTAACCATATACAACTATGGACTAATTTTAGTACACAAAGTGAACAAAAAAATTCATTCAATAATATAAATGTTTTCACTATATATTTTGATACTGATATTAATATAACAATAGCAGAGTTAATATTTCTATGTTTATTAATTATTATTACTTAATTTAATGATTCTTTTTTTATATTTTCATATTTTATTCATATATAGATTATATATAATATGATGACTACAATTATTTTCATTTAGGAAAACTCAACATGATCTATATTCATATCTTTTTGAAAATGAAGATAAAAAATTAAACAGCATTCAGTCTCAACATATTTATGAAATTCAGAAATTGGATGCTAGCTCAATTAATGAAGTTATACTAACACTTAGTATTCCAACTTTCTGGAAGCAATCTATTGGAGATATATAGATTATCAATATAACTGACACAACTTGCAGCTATATAGATAATCAACCATTTCATTGTACCTATTTAAACTCCGCAGTTTCAACTACTTTGATTGATAATTTTAAAATTTATACTGCAAATACTGAAAAATATACATCAGAAAAATTTATAAAAGATTCTAATTTTTCTACAAATTTTCCATCTAATAGATCACTTTATATTGATTATATAAATAACAATGTAAAATGTATATATATTAAATACAAATTAGGCTCATTTTTAATTCTTTGTCTATTACAAAACTTTCACTTATATTGGATATTTATTTATTTAATTATAAATGTAAGGTTTTGTTTAATATGTTAATATATTTTTATATAATTTCTAAATTATATGTTTAAAATATCATTATTTTTTTTTAATTCTTTATTACAGCAATGATGGCAGGAAAAGATATCATATTTTTTTCTATCTAGTGGAAATGTTAATATTTTGGAATCACATCATATTACTCAAAAAATTGGACATAAATCTGATAATGTTATTGTGGTTACAATGTTTTTAGGTTCATAAAATAGGTTTTTAGGTAACTGAACAAATTGCTATATGAGTTATAATTTTATCAATTATCTTAGGAAATTTACTATTAATATTGTTACTTTTAATATTACTTAAAATCGGATTTTTTAAACAAAAAAAAAAAAAAGAGAACTTGATGTATTAAAATCTGAAACAAATGTAAGTTTATTGAAACATTTTAATTGTATATTATAGATATTTAATGTTCTTATTACATTACAGAAAAAATATAGAATTATATTGAAAACATGTTCATCAACAGTTTTTCATCGAGAATAAATTTATTAATATATTCTTATAATATATATTTTATACATATATATATTTATTCTTTATGTATTAAGAAAATAAAACAAGTAACAAAATATTCTGTATTGTATTAACGCATTCAAGTTGTATCATTATTTTTATAAAAATATAATAAATCTTAAAAAATATCAACTTGGCTATAAATTCTCAACTATAAAGCTTAAAAAAATTTTATTACAAATATTTTATTTTATTCTGTTTATAATTGATCTATGTATTATTTATAAAAACATAAATGGAGCGGATTTATTTTAAATAAATAATCTTATATTTACAAAAATATTAATTTTGTTAATGTGAGATTCAAGCAATTGTATTTCTTGTTATTATTTACTAAAATATTTTATGCCAAAAATATACTTAGCTGCCTTTTGCATTAAACATTCCTAACATATTGTGCACATATTTCAGTTAGTAATATTTATAATAGAATTCATTTTATATTAAATAACAATAAGAGAGCATAACTTTCATTATATATGAATTTATATTCAAACTTACTTTAGTCATCCAAACCTAGGCCTTTTGAAATTTCTTCTGCTGTTAGATTATGTCCTGAAGAAGAATTATTTGCAGAATTATCAGAAGGTTTCATAGAATTTGATGTGTAAGTTGATGGGGGAGTTGAATGATTATCTTCATGAGATTTCTGTATAAAAATAATTATATAAATAGATTAAAAAATTTTTATATTTATAACTCTTAAAGCATTTTATACTTACATCTTTACCATGTTTTGTAAGACCTCCTAAAGCTGAACTAAGCAAAGAAGAGCCAATTGCTGATCCTATTCCAGATAAAAGATCTGAACCTGAATTTGATTGTTGGTTAGAATATCCACCAGAAGGTTGATAATTTCCATAACCTCCTGAAGGTTGATAATTTGATTTTTGATTTCCATCATTACCAAAAACACCACCAATAATAGATCCTAAAGCTCCTGTCAATGGATCACTTGGCTGAGTTGGAGGTGGTGCTGTATTATTTCCACTACTTCCACCTTATATATATATATATTATGTAAAGTTAGTATTAAAATTAAAATTTAATTGTGAAATTTTTATGATTTTTAATATAAATATATGATTTGTGAATGAATAATAAATATTATTATTATCAAGTATTTCTATATCCAATTATTATTGAATTATATAATTCAATAATATCACTATTTATAAACAAATTAAAATATCTTTACAATTTGAAAAGACTTATTATTTTTAAAGTATAAGATGTATCTACTATATCATACCTAATGCTCCAAGAATAGAATCTAATACACCACCACTTGATTGTTGGGAGGGATAACCTTGTTGTGCATGCGAATTACTTAAAGCATTGGTCACTAAACTGCTTGCTAAAGCTGCACCCAGAGACCCAAGATTTCCTAAGCCACTTTCACTTTCTGTTTTTGATTTAGAAGCATCAGACTTTTCTTGATCTTTTTCAACTTCATCTTTTTTTTTCTAAATTATTATACATAATATTATATATTATTATATTATGTATTATATATTACTATTTTTGAAATATTTGAATTATATACATTTATAGCATGTGCAGCAGCTGCTATACCTCCTGCAGCAACTAATCCTCCTAATGCAAGGCCTACTTTATCCAAACAACCACTAAATGCATCTTCTTCTTCAGGCTTTTCATATCCAGGCTGATATCCATATGATTTTGGAGGAAAACCTCCATATGCATTAGGTGGAGGACCATAACCAGGACCTGGAGGTGATGGACCATAACCAGGACCAGGAGGTGGTGGACCATAACCAGGACCTGGAGGTGGACCATATCCACCTTGTATTGTAGGATATAATCCACCAGGAGCTAAAAATTAATAACAATTTATTTAAAAAATGTCTATTTAATTGATAAAAAAAAATATATAAAATGTTTAATTACGTGGTGGGCCAAAGTTAGCAATAGGTACATCTGGTGTAGATAATATTTTAGGAGAACTAGGTGGATCTATAGGAACAATTTCATATGAGATGGATTGTATTTCTACATCACCATCAATAACCAAATGTGTCACTTTATCATATGATAATCGATGATTAAATTCTGTAAAATGTCTGCCATTTATGGCAATTTTATAACATTTATGATCACATAAAAGAAGAATTTCAAATTCTTGACCAGGCTGTATCAACATAGGACCTTCATTTTCTTCTATACCCCAAGTCATTGATTCTATATGATTTCTAGTAATAAATCCTTCTGGAAAGCGTGGTGAAACATGAATAGCTATATCATCTCTTGGGTTTAAATTAGGTCCTAGTTGATAATTTATAGCAAAACGTACAGCATCAGGAGAAACTTTGCCTTGAATTTTTACCATTTTTCCAGGTTTTAAACCTCCTTCAATAGATCCCACATAAGGAATAGGCTATTTAAATAAAAAAATAATTTTTAAAGATAAATTAATTTGAATAAAAAAAATATAAAAATTATTATTTTGAATATAAATATAAAATAGAAATATAAAATAATATAAAATGTAAACTTATTAAACTATACAAATTAATTACTAGATAAATTCAATTATTTTATATTTTTATTTAAATTACATTAAATTGGATTAAAAAATCATATTATTATGTTTTCATTTATTATATTTTGTTCTATTCTTTCAATTCAATTTTGTCATACATTTTTAAAATTTTTTTATGTTATATAATATGATTTTTATATAGAAAATTGAAAGTAATTTGAAAAATTTAATGAAATAATTCATTTAATATATGAACAAATTATATTTCATTGCAATTACATCAGCATTGCAGATGTATGCATTCTTTCTTAATCAATGACAGTCATTTTGTTACTTTTGGATCAAATAATTTTTTAATCTATAAAAATAATACTTACGGGATTTAATATTGGCTCAGATGACATTATTATATTTGATTCTATTCTTGCAAATATAAATAGAAGTTTATATCTTAATATGCAATTACAAAGTAACAAATACTGTATAGATGGAGAATTCCGCACTTCTCTTGTGCTTCTCAAGACATTTCTATTTAGAGTGCTGACGTTTCCAGCTTGAACTATGCAATGCGGCAGAAACTGTATATAATGCAGTTTAAAGCACGCAATAGTTTCTTTCGCGCATGTATTTTCAAATTCTTTATATTTACTGCAATGACATATAAAAATAATGTAAAAAAAAGCGCGAATTCAAATTTGTTTCATATTTAAATACAATAAACCAATCAAATTGTTCTATTTTAAAAATAAATCAAAAGTATGTATATGATAAACCAATTATAAGAAAGGAATAACATAATGCAATATATTTATAAAACTAGTTATTATATGTACATGTTGAAATATTATAGATTATAAATATTATATAAAATATTTCCAATTTTACAGATTAAATGTTCCAATGAATTATCATTTAAAGATTGTACAATTAATTAGTGGAATAGTTATAAGCGAACACGCGTGTGTTATCGCCTACGTTCATTTTCGTCCGCATTGTTTAACACTACAGGAAACTAAATAAACCGTTCATTGAGATATAACAGTCTCACTGCCAGAGAGAGTTTCTTTCACCTAGAAAAATTAAACAGTTAAATGGAAACAAGTTAATAGTGAGCAGAACTGGATCAATGTAAATCAATAAAATCGATGAGGAAACATAAAAACAATCTACATCAACTTATTTCCTAACCTAAACTTTTATGTTTCTTTCCAAGTTAAGGAAACTTAAGTTTATTTTAATTTTTAATTATTATAATTATTATATTAATATAATTTTGTATAAATTTATGATCATAGAAATTATAATTGAATACAATTCAATATTATCATAATTAGGATTGTTTCAAATATTTGTTGAACGAATTTGTAAATCATGTATATATGAATTATGAGATTTATATATTTTTAATAAAAATTTTTAATTTTATAATTTTTAAATATTGAAATATTAAATATTAAAAATAACCAATTAGTTGAAACGAAATATTATTTTTAATTATTATTCATTTTTAAATAGAATTCTATGTGTATTACCAACATATGGGTAACGAATGTCAATCAGATATGTAAGCAGACGTATTGTGGCTATAAATTGATCATTTTACCTGTACATTTCCAGGGGCCATATATAAGGTGTGTCGTTATAAAACGTATGTGGAGCGTATAAGGGCTAGGCATGGCACACCCATGATAAATATAATAAATTAATCGAATTACACAATTTTAATCTTTATGAATTACTTTGATTTTAAAAAGTCAACGTTTAATTAATTTTTTAAACTATTATTGGTAAGCATTTATTTTGTTGATATAATATTTATAGAAATAGTTATATAAAAAGACAGTTGTTTCAAACAAAAAACCAAACATACGGGTCAAAGAATCACAAATACTAAATATACTATATAGAAATATCCTTGTCAAGTTCATGGCCTGTATTTAAGGATCAATAAGGGATTTCTTCTATTTTTATCTATACTTCATTATTAATAATAATTCAATTAATAAATTTTTGGTAATCTTTATATATGTTTATCGATATTTTTGAAAAAAAATATATATCTATGTTTTTATTTTGTATTATATTTTTAAAGTTGATTGTAGAAAGAAAAAATTTAATGTAAGGAGGAAATTGGAATATCCTTTTCTTTATAATTATTTTATTTTACATTTATTAAAATAATGATTTTTTTTATAAGACAAAATTATAAAAATATTCTTTTAACGTTGAAATTATCGGTGAATATAAGGACTCAAGGAATCAAGGCAGGACTCGCCAACAAGATCAATAAGCAACGTACCGACCCTTCTTCGCAAGGTTTTTAATGCTTTCTTATAAATGCCCTTTCACGAAGCCTTTATGCGTGTATATTGGACCTATCCCTATACAAAAATCCAGATGTTTACTATGAGGCAAAAATGATCTAAGCACAACATACGTAATCTTCAGCGAGAAATGTTTCCAACTACGATTTTTTTATAAAAAAAAAATAATGATTGTAATAATGATTGCAATATGCGCAATTGTAAATTTGGTAAATTGAATAATTAAGAGGATTTGTAATTTTAATATTTAAAATATTTATAATATAAGATTTTATTTAGTAGAATAATTGAAAAATAAAATATAAATTAATTAATATTTATAAAAAACAAAAATTTAATTTAGATTAAATCTTTTTCTTTAATTTTATTTTCTTTCATTTCAGAATTAACAATTTATCAATGCTAAAATTTACGTCAATATATTTTATATATACTAACAATATATTTTAAAGAATTGACCAGTGATATAATAATATAATTTATTATAATTAAAAAATATTTCATCTTCGATCGTTCGACAGTTATAGATATTTTTCGAAATATATCAATCAATACATTGATATATATTCTACTTCATGGAATTTATAAAAAACTTCAATTATTTTTTCATACATTTGAATTGAAAAACTAGTACAAATGCTGCCATCTAATTTGGGATTAAGGTTTTACGCACGCAAATCATATGCCGGTTCGTAACGTATTTTATACAAATGATTAAACGTTTAAGTATTTTGTATTCTGAAGCACGTATTCTTTGTTGTAGAGTTTTCAGTTATTGAACTGTAAAAGTGTACACATGAGCCCATTAAATGTGAATAGAGCCAACATTGATCGCTAATCACGAAATAAATGTATCTTAAATTTAATATTTTTAAAAGTTACGACACTTCTTTAAAAAGTTTGTCCGATATAAACAAATTTTTTAAACTTCGTATCGTCGTTTCGAAGATACAAAATTATTTTAACGAGTTAGTTCGTTAAAATTAAAAATTATTTACAAATATATAAGATAAAAAATAAAAAAATTAAATTTGTCAAGAGAAATTATTATATCAAAATAATTTTAAATAGAAATCGTGATATTGTGTACATATATAACAAAAAGTGAAAGTATAAACCAAACTTTAATTTCAAATGATTTTAAATATTTTTTAAACATCGTCTTAAATATGCGTCTTAAACAAGTTTGGTTAGAATAGTGGTGGTTGTAGTAGTATGGAACAGTACGATGGTGATGGTGGTAGTGGTGCCCAATACTCTTTTCAGCCCTCGGCCGACAGTTCAACGCAGCCTGTAGTGTTCGACGGTTGTACGTCTGTCCAGTCGGACAAAATTTTACGTTTTTCATTCTCTTTTATTCACGTTTTTATCGACAATGCGACAATTTATAAACTTTTAAACTCTTAAACGTTTTTCATCTTCCTCTTTATTCTTCCTTTTCATTTTCATCTCTAGGAATATAAATACAATGCAGGTGACTCGTTGAATGTGATTGAAATTATTTTGTGCCAGTGAATTTGAACATGGTACTTCGAAGAATTCGATCGAGAAAAACGGATTTTCAATAATTGATTGCTCGAATGTTCAATGGGGTGAAATAATGGTAAGACAATATTTTATATTACATTATATTCCTTTTAATTTTATTAAGAAGTAAAATGCAAGATATTTTGTACGGAAAATATAGACTAATGAAAATGAAAGTATGTATACATCGATGGAGATGTTTTATAAATTGGATAGTTTTATTGTTAAAATTATTTTAATAAAAATATCAAATTTTATTAATAATATATTAAATTTTTGAAATTTAATAGGTTTCGACTACGATAAGAAGATAAGTGTAATAAGTTTTCCCCTTCATCGTCTTTTCCTCCTTTACGGCTGTAAAAAAAGGAAAAAAGAGATAATTTAAGAGTCGAAGTCAAAGGTTGATAAAGATAAAATGATTCTTCTCGAAAATATAATTAAAAAAATCGACTTTAGATACGGGCAAACGTTTCATTTCTTGCAAGAGACGCTACAAGTGTCAATGTTCATTATCGATGGGGGAAGAACATCTTTATTTTTCATATTTAAGATAAGAAGATGAAGACCTCTTATAATACGCGTAAATATTTGTGTCATCAAATCATAATTCAGTGAAATATGAACTTTAATAATAACTTTAATATAACTTTAATATTGATATTCTAAAGTATGAACAAAACATTTGAAATTTCATCTTGTTTATAATTTCAAAACAAATTTTCAATGTCTTTTTGTATTAATGAAATATCAAGTAGCAAATTTAGTATCGATTTTTAACTTAAGATATGATTTACATATTTTATCCATTTATTTTTTTAAAAAAATATGAATTGCACGTAAAAAACTATTGAATGGTCGATCTAATAATTGATATTATATCTTTATTTATGATAATTATTAAAAACTATTTTATATTTAAATATAAAATCATAATATTTTAAAAAATATTAATTTCCAAGAAATTGGAAGATACTCCTACGTCTAATTGAGATTTTAATGCCAATGATTCCTCGTCGCGTTATAAAATTACAACATTAATAGTTTTATAACTAACCTTGACTTAACTTCGTTCAATATTCTTACCATTATTCTTTCACGTATATTGCCCGTGTTTCACGCGTCTTCCTCTTCAGAGTCTTCTTCTTCAAAGTCTCCAGAAAACGAGCACTGTAGTGACGTAATTGGCCAAGTAGATAAACCGTGTCCGCTTTCCGTCATATCGTGTTCAATACCTTAATTAACTTTACGTCTTCAAATGTATTTACGGCCAATTCTCTATCTATTCGTTTCTTGAATTCTATGAAAAACGAAATATCCATGTTCTGTGTAAAACGAGGACAACAATTAACAGGAAGACATACCGCGATACCACCACCTTGATTCGAAAAGTCAAGACATCCGTGTTTCGCGTACAGGGCCCTTAATTGGGCTTAATTAACGATCGTCTGTCTTTGTCATTGTGACTCACAGAGCGAATGTAACTTCTTGCATTTATCTCGTTTTTTCTTGTCGCTATTCTTTTACTTCCACACTCTGTCATTTTTTTTTTTTATTATATACCGCTTTGTACGTGTTTCAGATATTAATTACAAAAACATTTTGTTGTAGGTATTACAAATTGAGAATCGTAATAAGGATCAAAACGTGATTTATGAACAAAACGCTTTGAGAAATTCACAAATTGATATTTAAAGAAAAGGGTAACGGTATAGCAAAATTGTAATGTTACACAAATAGACATTTGTCCGAAGGATTATGGATCGTTCCGTTTGTTTGAATCTTTTCGTTTATAGGTGTGCTGGACTATTTTATCGTCATCCTGTGTACATCAAAATACGTTTTGATCCAAATTTCATCTATAAATAATCTCTTTCGTTTTCTTTTAATTGTCTCCGCTATTATAGTTTCGTTATTTTTGTTATCGTTTTATTTTATCCCTCCTTTAATTATATACCCTTTGTTTTAACTTGTACTATTTGTTGTAAAAAACTGAATAAAATTTCTAGATACGAAAACAGGCATAACTCGAATAGGAAAATTACCCAACAGGGGTAACATTCAAGGATGAATCATTCCCAAAATGAAACGAATTGGACGATCGATATCAAAACCAGGCGAACGAATTTCGCGTTCGCAACTTATAACATTAGAACATAAGCCAGCCACATGCATAATAGATTTAACGATAAGGCGATGCAATTATGCAATTTTAATATTAATTTTCGCCGTAATTTCATGCGATGACTGAAGCAAGCATTGAAATATTTATTTTCTTTGATGATGCGCGTAGATATCGATGATAAACGCAATTAATTAACTTATTAAAAATTATTAGTTGTTAAATAGATTTTCATATTCATATAATGCAGCGGATAATATTGCTTGACGCAACGATTACACGGTTGGAAGAACCATTATTTAAATTGTGCGTACACGCTGACAACACCTCGTGTCGAATACAAAAAGTTCTTTCACAAAACTTACCTTGGATAATCCTAACAATCGTTATCGTTCATATCGTATAGTATACCCTCCCACCGGTGTGCTTATCCTATAATCTTGCATATACTTCCGGTTACGACAATTATTATTATGTTATGCGTACGAGGAACATGAAGGAAAAAGCATGAAAAACTGTGTGTGAAAACGATGGTTTAAAATTAAAATTACTATTAGGGGATAGAAAAAAGATAGAATTCAGCGATGATGATGATAGAAAATATATCGAGATAGATACAATTATTTTATTTGTTCATCTCAGCAATAAATTAGCAATAAGTTTCATAAACAATTTATCATCTTTTTCAATAGCAGAATCAAGCGAGAGAGGTATCCACGTAAAAGCAAATCGCATAATCTCGACGATTATCGAAGATGTCGAAGAAGAGGGCCTAGCATGAACCACGCCGTCACATTTACAGTGTTGATAGTAATCCTGATCCTCGGTGATCTCGAATCGGTCACAGTGGTGAACCATCATCCGGACGAGGAATATTTCCTGGAGCATGAAGTCCTATACGAGGAGGCAATTAACGAGGCGAAAAAGTTGCAGCTCTATCCCGGTAACTTAACGTACTTAACACACATCCCAATAACTAAAAGCGTTACACGTCTGAAGCCCCTTGTCCGACTTCATTCTAACGTCTGGTCTATAAAGCATCTTTACGAAGCATATTTATCTTTCCTTCCGAAAATAACTTCCCTTTGATCCGTTTAAACAGATACTTCGGTCACTCTCCATTCCACACGATCAATTATAACTTTGAAGAAATCTCATTTTATTAATTGGCCTTTGTGTTCAACTATTGCAGCGGGTACGGATGTGAAAGGTATTCGATCATTCCATTTCGAATGATTGTCGCTTCATCTAGTCTAATTAGGTTTGTTGCATGATCTGCCAAGCCTATCTTCTTTTTTTTTGATACTATTGAAAATAATTGTTAGAAAGAAAAAATGATCTTCTTGTTCTGTTTTTTTTTTTCCACATGTAATAGTTATCGTGGACAGGAAGTGAAAAACCAAGGTTACTTGTTTTGTTCGACGATTTAAGCTTGTCAGCGTATATTTCAGTGATTTGCAACAACATATATACAATATTCTGAGAATAGTAGTATTTCTGATGCTATTTCTGAAATTATCCTTGAATAAATCAATATCTGTAATCCATGCAGTTCTAATATTTTCGCTCGCTTCTTTTATTCTTTTTTATTCGAACTTGATAAATCTTCGTAATAAGGTTAATCGTAAGGAGATCCAGTCGATTTAGTTTAATTTAATTTAATGATATTTTATAACTGTTTTATATATATTATTTTATATATATATATGATATGATGATAATATCTGAATATTAATAAGATGATATAACATCAGTACAATCTACAACATCACGGCACAATTTCAAAACAATTGCGTAAAAATCCTCGAGACACCAATTAATGTGAATTATACATGTACTCTCTCGATTTGATGCGATTATAGTCTCGTTTAATAACAGTTCTACGTTATAACCGAAACGAGGATAATGAAATGTAATTTTTAATTAATTGAACGTTAAAAATCTGTTAATTTTTTTTTTTTTTTTTTACTTACTTAAGATAATATGATGTTCTTGCTATATTATAAAACAAGCTCCTCCAAGCTCTGTGCTGGTTTCTTCTTTAAAAATGTACGCAAAAATTGTTTTATCTTTGATTAGTATTTATATTTCGTTCGTCGTTTACAGGACCAATCCCAGGATGCAAGCCCTGCACGAATACAGAGATGACTTACTGCAGAGATGGAAGCGTGATAAATGATCATTGTTGTTGCGATGGCAGCGTTAACGGTAAATTAACAATGTTCTTCTATCTTTTGGAAACGTCTTACAACGATGCAAAACTTTCTATATTCCATATTGCATTATTCATTCAATGTTGCAATGATTATGGAAAATGGAACCATCACCTTGATTTCTAATAGATTTCTTTGTTTCACTTTTTACAATTACGCTGCTTGTGTTTTTTTTAGGCGTGTCCTTCATTTGCGATTTACGTATATAAAAATCGATCAAAAGAAAGAACGATGTGCGTGCGAACAATTCGTGCGCGGTTTGATTACGCAACACTTCGCGTAACGAATCATGATAACAGGATCTAAAATTGTCGCAAATCGTTTGTAATTCGTACCACGGAATAAATAATCAATTTCTGATGTGATCTGAATTTAAAAATACAGGATTCACAATCTAAACAATCGAAACAATTTCTCCATCATTGTTGTCGATGAGGTTGAACTTTGTCGATACGTTATTGTTATAAAAATAAATAGAACGAGAATATTCGATATAATAATATCTGCAACGAACGAAATCGTAACGTTTGCTTCGAGAAACTTTGAGGAATGAATTTTTGCGAAGCATCTTCAAATCCAGCTGAACGGAAGGACAATCACCTGTTCAGGAAATCATCGTTGTTCGTTTAACGATTCATCCTTGTCAGGCACACGCGAGTATAATGCGCGCATATAGGGTGGCTATACCTAGGTGATTCACGCAAAACACGTCGCATAGCCGTTAAACAGGAACACTTGGGTATTCCGCGCGTTCTTCCTTCGTACTTTTTACGTAGCTATCGGCCATTCACCTCTAATTCCGTTTACTCGAATTTCTAATTAGCCTAATCTCTCCGATGACCTCGCTTCGCACAAATAAATAAATATCTACTTGTTTAAAATCGTTCCCCATTTTCCATCAGGCGCATATTCATTTTTTACTCGCAAATACTTGCCGATAACTTTTAATAACTTCTTCTTTTGAAAAAAAAAAAAATGCTAATAATCGCGGATACATTTTTTTTTTTTTAAGTAAAATAAGCGAATATTTTAAAAGTTATCTCTGTATAGATACAATAGCTTTCCATATTTTTAACGAGAAAGATAATCGATCTTTTGTGTGCGACAACATTAAAATTTATAGTTGGGGATAAATCTTTAAATAATTTATTTTGTGTTACTTTAAGTACTTTTTAGTTGGGACGTACGATTTCAACTATGATTCCTGAAAAACCTGTAAACAGTTAATTTTGTAACAACGCTTTATGCAAGCTTAGTCTTGCTACTGTTAATGCGTGCCAAGTTTATACGAATGACAATGATGGTAGTAGCAATAAAATTGCATTGCTGCACGCATCGTGTGCACGAATCGAATACACGAGTTCGTTTTGATCAATTTTATGAATCACACGTTCTTCTTTGCTTATTTCTAAGCAATCAATCGATTCGATTGTGCAGAGTATAAATAACAGTAGGCTAGAAACAACAATGAAATTTCATTCTATATTGCACAAAGAATTACAGATCGTGTGAAAAATAATTCCGTTTTTTCGGAAGCAAATTTTATCTATTAGCTAATAAAAAAAAAAAAAAAAAATTAAAGGAAAGAAATTCCTCTTATAAATTAACTTCTTATTATTATGTCTTCTGAACATTCTAACATAATGATTTTAATTCGAATAGCATTCTTATCAATTATTAAGTGTTCTGTTCCGATTGGAAATCGGAAACCTTTAATATCTCGTTCTAACATAATGATTTTAATTCGAATAGCATTCTTATCAATTATTAAGTGTTCTGTTCCGATTGGAAATCGGTTTAATATCTCATTACGAATTGATCGTTAATGCAATTAATAAAATCCAAATATAAATAAATAGTATCCAAAAATATTGGCTAATAAAATTTTATTAATTGAAAATCGAGATATTCATATCATACGAGATCGATTTCTATTTTAAATTGATTTTAAACTTTTCTTAAATATCGAAATTCTGTTCGTTGCACTTATGAATCTATTGTTTCAGAGGTATTTCCCTTCGTGACGCACACTTGTCGTGTCGGGCCCGAGGAATGCAAGGTGCAAGCTGGAGATTGTGCTGAATACGCGAGGTTACGGGAATGTTGTTGTCATTCCTACTTAGCTTCTATTTGTAAGTTACTCTTTATCTATGATTAGGGTATTAGATATTGTTGCGTAAATGCAAATTGATGAGAGCGAAATTTTATAATTAATAGAAGAACGGAGACAGGTTAGAACAATTTTACATACAAAAGATACATCTTGAAAGATGTATTAAAAATTTAATAGAAAGATTATTCATTGTAAGATATTTCTTTCCATGGAGATTCTATGTTTAATTTCATTCTAGTAGTTGTAGAATTTTATTTCACGTTAAATTCATTTCTTTCAGGGAAATATTTAGCAAATACAGCAGGATCATCAACGAATATAAATCTCATAAAGTTCCTGGCGATATTAACGGTGCTCAGGTTGCTCTTTTAGCCGGCCTAATTAATAATACACGTTTAATACCAAATATTTTATATATATATATATATATAAGTTTTATTTTAATAATTATTTTTCCACCGTACAAGAAATATTAAAAGCAAAATGAATGTTTATAACACATGGCAACGAGAAGAATGAAATTTTTACTAATTTGATAGAAACAATTTTTGCGATTTCTCGTGTATATAGTATGTGAAGAAATGTAATTGTACAAAGAAATATAAATGAATATGATAGCGGTTGTATTTGTATTTTAATGGGTGAAATGCAACAAATAATGTACAAACACATACTTAAAATCTTAATCTTTTAATCTTTTTCTTTCGTTGCGGATGTGATGCAATTTTACGTAAACGATAGTTCCTTAATTATAAACAATAAGGTAAAACGATTACACGAGACACGTAAAAATTTGCTCACAATCGAATTATTGCAACATTATCGCTTTTTAAGATAAAGAAGAATATTTAAGAATCGTATAAAAAACTTATTGGACGAAACAAAATATAAATATTATTAAATATTTTTAATAATATAATTTAAATAATAGATACTCACTCTTAAATCACTAAGGGGAATAATTATAATTTATTATTATAGGTCATGAAGCCAAAATTTTATAAAATTTCTTATGGCTGGCAATAAAATTTTATGGTTGCGAAATTAAACCGGATCTGTACAATTTAACTTTCTATCAAAATTCGTCCCTGACGCACTTTTTCTCAATCTCAGAAAAGATAATCGAAATTTCAATCTGGAACGATAAGAAATACATTAAAAAAATATTATTAACGAAACGATTAAAAATAGATTTAGAAACTCATTTTTTTTTTTTTTTAGCGATTGATCTCATTTTTTATTTATCGTTTCAAAAAGAGAGGAACATCTGAATCTGTTACGAGTAACGGGTATTTGCTGATCGACCATTTAAGTGATTCAACTGTAAGTGAGCGTGTTGTAAATATATACGTTGCGTAGGTTTTGAAAAGAAATTGAAGAATTAAATCTGCAAAAGTGTCGGAAAGTGTGCCCATATTCGAAAGTGTTAAAAAGTGTGTCTCGATATCGTGTGAAAAATATGCATATTATCATGGTAATATTCGCCACCATTCTGATTATACAATCGTATGCTGTTGCTGAATCAAGTGAGTATGTTGACACTTGTAATTTCATTCAAAATTATCAATGTTATTCAGAAGATACTATTGATATTATATTTTTATTTTATTTCCTTACAAAAAATGTTTAACTCTTCAATTCTAACTTTGAAACAATACTTATATATATTTTATTATGTTTTTTAACTTATATGCTAATAAGGCGAACAGAGCAGCATATTAGACAATCAAGCAAAAGAAAAAAATTAACATTACCATTCACACCAACGTTGCAAACGGAGTCGTATCAAGACAATACTAAATATTATAATTTTCCAACGGATTATATTTATAGACCTCTTCAAAACAAGTAAATATATTTTCTAATTAATTGACGATGCAAATTTTAATTTTTTAATCTTTTAATTTCTCTTTGTTTTTCAGGAAATGTCCATTGTGCGACACTTCTGTCCTTCCCTATTGCGGAGAAAAATTATTGCACGATGCATGTTGCTGCACAGATCCTTACACATACGATTTACCTTATCAATGTAAATTAGCGGATTGTCGATTTTTGCATGCGAATAGTTGCAAAGAACATCAATTAATTGCTATCTGTTGCTGTAGTGATGATTACCGATCTTTATTGAAGAGTTTTTCAAATGTTTAACATATTCATTATAAATCATATTTTATTTGTTTATTTCATTATGATATATGATATATTTATATTATGCATATACATATAATGAGCATATACAAGTAACACATTGTTTGTTTTATTTTTACGTATAAATTTTTAATCAAAACGTTTAATATATTAATTAATAAAGATTAATTAATTGTCGTTGAGATATATTTTATATATATCTATTAATATACTATTAATCAATTAAATTAAACAATAAATATATTTTTTTTGCCATATAAAAATAATAAATTTTAATAAATTAATAAAAAAATTATGAGCGAGATATTCGATAATAAATAATTTAATATGTTCTATTTCATTAATATTATTATTAATTCAATAGCTTGATATCGAGATTAATTCTATTATTTCAGACAGGCAATTGATATAACATTAAATAATATAAATAAAATAAATATATATACATATATGATTTATAAGAAATACAAATTATATAAAATATATGTATGAATTAAAATTATAAAATTATAAAAATAATTCCTTTTTACCACTTAATTAGTAACGCCATCTCTTTGGAAAATGCTGAAATTTGTTGCATACTATATATAATGAATTAATAAAAAAAAAAACAAATATAATATAAATAATTATATAAATAGTTAAAGAAATAATTGAACATTTAAAAAATAAATTAATCAGTTATGCCAAAAAATATTTGACTTATCATTTGTAGATAATAAACAGTAATTTTTCATCCGATCATAATTTTTTTAATAAAATATATCGATAATTACAAATAAAAAATGCGAAACAATTACAGTCGCAAATGAATATATTTTAAATATATCACGAATAAAATATATACACATAAATTTACACATAATTTTTAATATACGAAATCGAATAAACTTTGATGTCAAAAGAAATTTTGTACAATATTTAATAAATTTATTATATCATATAGATTATTAATAAAATTATTGTATCGTATCAATAAATTTTGAAATTAATAAAATATTAGTATAATGTTAAAAGTTAAAATTCATATTTTAAAATTTTCAATTTTAAATTTACAGGTAGTGCTACTTGCGTAGTTACCAATACAATTACCTTCGTCCTTTGCTAATACATTGAGCGCCATCTCGATTTCCATAATGTTTAGTGCGCATTGTAATGCGCATGACGTCAGTCTACAGTTGAAAATCGTGGTGATAGATCGTGTTTCATAAATTGTGTGTAATTATATATTTAATTGTGTAATTTATTAGCTATTAATAGTCTTATGTAATATGTGTTTGTTTTAATCATTAAGCAATATTTCAAAATTAATAGTTTTTTATATTTTTTGTCGTTTACGACGTAATTTTATTTGACAATTGACCGGTGGCTTGTATTCGAATTTGCCTTCGATTCGAATTTGATTTGATTTCGATTATTATTTCGTTTTAATATTATTTTAAAATTATTAAACATTTATTTTACGATTGTGATTTCCGTTTGTGTAAATTATTGTTCGATTGTCAATATAATTCCAAAGATAAATGTATTTAGAATATTTCCATATACGTACGTTCGGTGTTTGTTGTCGATCTATCCCTTCCCATACCAAATTTCGATAATCGAAATTGTCGCGAGTCGTATCGCGCGTCATTGTGTCGTCGAAATTCGTTCGGATTAGACGTCGTAATTTATAGCAGGTATGTGATTTATTTATTTTTGAATATTATTCTTCAATTAATACGCGTATATTCAATCATTATTGTTTAATTAATAATTCTTTGAATAATAAACTATTCTTTATTTATTTATTTAATCAGTGTTAGAATCAGTGTTTGTTTCGTAATAATTAATTTAAATCTTTTAGTGGATAACGCGAAATTAGAGTCAGTGTTTGCTTCGTAATAGTTTATTTGAATCCTTTAATGAATAACGCGAAATTAGAGTCAGTGTTTGTTCGCCGATTGTAACAGTTTTTCTTTAAAATGTTGTTCGTTTCGGATGTATAGAGTCAGTGTTTCTTCCAAAAAGAGACTTCGATATCCTCCTATACAATGATGTTCTTCACGATGGATCATTTTCTAATCAGCAGCATCAATGGTGAGTCGCATGCATTTTTGTTCCTCCGGTCCACTCAATCATGTCGTAGGACGAAAGGTCCGAATCGACACGAGTGGCTGGTTGTATACGTAGATTTTTGCAACGAGCATAGTGACCATGGGTGTTTATTATACCCGTGAGTAGTAACATTTTCTGTGTTTTATTTATAATTAATTAGGCTAGGTTTTCTTGCACATCGCGACATTTTTAAATATTGTTCAAATTGTTTCAAACTAATTATTCCCCTCGAAATTATATTAAATATTAAATATTATATTAAATATTAAGTGCAAGAAGACACTTCGCGACAGGCAGATTTTGAAATCAAAGCTACAAATTTTTAATTCTTTCGTATTTTCGAAAATATGCTTTGATGGAGAAATCGTCTGAGGGTATTAATTTTTAATTCTGAAATTTTCAATTACTTCAATGAATTATATTTTAATCTTCTATTATATCTTCTTTTTAATTAATAATTCTTTTTATAAAATTTTAAAATTTGAGATATCACGAAATCACAAGATTAAAATTCTTTAGCCCGTTAATTACATTTATACTAATCTATCTTTCTAGCTCAGGATTTTCAGGTTTAACCCCTTCCGTGTTCATTGCCTCGATCTCGCTCACGTGCCCAGGTGCTACTTAGGTGAGAGAGAGGTGATGGATACGATGATCATAGTTGATAAGTTTATTAACAATTTTTTAGCGATTGACGATGAGTTGGTGTATCGTGCCCGACGTATTTTCCACATTATATGTGTGTGTGTGGTTAGGATGTGGAATTGCGTCGTTACGATTACAAATCTATTCGTAGTTATCAATTTGCAATAAAAATATTTAATATTTTTATTAAACACGCGGATTATTTTTTATTATTAAATTAAATAACGATCCCGAAATTCTCAATAATTTCATATCTTCTTTCAAAGATAATACACAGAATTCTTTCGATCATAAATTTTCATTTAATTAAAATCAAGATGTAATTTTTCATCGCGATTCACGCAATGATCGTTAGCCATCGTCAATCGATTTCAGTTGAAAGGTACGTAAACTTAGAGTGTGAATATAGCGTGCCAAGCTCGGGTGTCGGAGGTGTCCCGGGACATTTTCCCTAGTGTAGGTTTTTGCGCCCGAGTGTTATGCGTGAGAATCGTGGAACGAATGTGTTGGTATGCCTGTTTTGCCATTTTTTAAATATAGGGCTAGGTAGGATAGGTAGTATACTTTCTGGTGTGAATGTTAATTGATAAGTAGGCAGGGCCGGGCAAGTTGTCACAGTCTCTGGTCGGGTAGGCACGTTTTCGAGTGACAACTTGTTTCTGGAAATCAAATTTCTGAAAAATCGAGAGCGGAGCTGAGACTTGTTTCTCTGGCGTTTCCTTTCCGATTTTTCGAATTTCGCGGTCCCGGCCGTTGAGCTCGAGATTCTGCGCATGCGCGGACAATGGTCGCTGCGATCGTTGCGACGTTCACGTGCGTTTAGATTCCGCGATTGCTTTTTCTTTTTCTTTTTTTTTTTTTTCGTCTATTAGGAAATCTCGAGCTTAGTTTTAAGTTTCAGAAAAGAGATCGAAGAAGCCCGACAAACTGTCACGAAGAAGGCTACAACGAATGGCTTCTCATTTTTTGGGTCTTGTTTGGGTCCGAAGAATGGGAAGTCATTGTTACTACTTTGTCACTATGTTCGTTTTAGTAATACGTAGTATTTGTTGTTGTGTTGTTTGGCCGATTGCATGCAGGCCCACAGGATTCAATCATCATGGAAATCGTGATTTTTTTTATTAGTGTTGCGTTGCAAAAAATATCGCGATTGCTTTCAATTATAAATTAGCCTATTTTTTTATTTTTTTTTTTCTATCGAATTTATCATATAGTATTGTGATATCGGATATTTGAAGTAGCTTTTCATTTATAGAATATTAAATTTTGTATTAAATTTAGATTTTAAGAATTAGTGTCGCGTTGATAAATAATCACGTTGCGTCGATAAATCGGTGCTATTTTGGAAAAATACCAAAGAAACATCTTTTTAAAAATAGTCAAGAGATGGCGTTCATTGTTAATTCTTATACTCTTAAAAAGATATCTTTGATGTTCAAAAGATGGCGCTAATAGTTCATATTTACGCTATTTTTATCCTTCTCTTACTATTTTCTATCCTTTTTTGGAATACCAAAGAAATATTTCTTCAAAAGCGAAGAGATGGCGCTAACAGTATGTATTTACTTTATTTCTATACTTCCCTCATATTTTCTGTTCTTTTTACATATATTTCATTCGCGATACTCTTAAGATAATGTTGATTTTAATTTTTTTACTTTATTTCTTCTTCTTGTTTATATTCCACAAAATTATGTGTTCATCAAATGATGCCAATATTTCATTAATTTTATACTCTTCTTTGCTTAATCTATCGATTCAAAATCTTAACAAAGTTTATTCGGTCTAATTTTTGCATATGATACGAATCATTTATATATATATATATATATATATATATATATATATATATATATATNT